CACAATATCTATTGAACATTTTGGGCCTTATTCACTCCTTCAGTTTCTCACACTAGGGAGACAATATGATGTTTACACATGTGAGTCTGATTTATTTTTCTTTTGAATATGGTCTCAAGTTGTATCCATGTACCTATCTCAAGTCCATCCTTCTTTATGCCTGAGTAGTACTCCATTGTATAAAAATACCATATCTTTTTTATCCATTCCTCGGTTGATGGGCATTTGGGTTGTTTCCAAGATTTAGCTATTACAAATTGTTCTGCTGTAAACGTGGGCGCACATGTATCACTGTTATATGATGTTTTTAATTCTTCTGGAAAGATACCCAGAAGGGGAATAGCTGGGTTGAATATGACCTCTAATTCTAGTTTTTTAAGGAATCTCCATACTGATTTCCAATGGTCACACCAGTCTACACTCGCACCAACAGTGGAGAAAGGATCCTTTTTCCCCACAGCCCCTCCAACATCTTTTATTCGTTGCTTTCTTGATGATAGCCATTCTTTCGGGGGTGAGATGGAATCTCAGTGTTTTAATTTGCATCTCTCAAATGACCAATGATGTTGAACATTTTTTTTCATGTATTTATTTGCCATTTGTGTTGCTTTATCTGAGAAGTGCATATTCATCTCATATGTTCATTTTTCGATTGGGCCTTTGAATTTGGGGGGGCTGATGTTTTTCAATTCTTTATATGTTCTAGATAGAAGTCCTTTGCCTGAGGGACAACTGGCTAAACTTTTTTCCCCACATTGCGGGTTGTCTTTTTAATCTGTTGGTGATTTCTTTTGTTGTGCAAAAGCTTTTTAATAAGATGAGATCCCAGTTGTTGATTCTTTGTAGTATTTCTTATGTGATCTGGGTTTTGTTCATGAAGTCTCTGCCTATATCTATGTCGTCAAGACTCTATTTATTTTCTCTTCCAGTAAATTTAGTGTTTCTGTTTTAATATTTATATCTTTGACCCATTTTGACTTTAGTTTAGTGCATGGTAATAGACATGGTTCTAGTTTTAGCCTTTGACATGTGGAAAGCCAGTTTTTCTAGCACCATTTATTAGAGAGACTGTGTTTCTTCCAGTGAATATGTTTAGCCCCTTTGTCAAAGATAAGGTGGCTGAGTGTGTCCATATCTTCTAATCTGTTCCCTTGAAATGATGATAAACTCCTAGGAGTCTTCATCCCATAGTACTCAATTTCTAGCTTCTGAATTATTTACTTGTAAAGAATAAAACTTAAATGACAAACCTTAGAGTTTTTCTCATGTGTGTGCTTCTAGTATAATCTCTGCTAATTTGCATGCATTTCTTAGTAATTTAGGCAAGCAATAGTTGAATGAGATTCACAGAAAATTCAGTTTACAATCTTTTTTTCATGAAGGTTCTGCTGAAATGGAGACAGTAGTAGATTTCTGTTCTGCTCACTCTGTAACGCTCAGGTGAACATCTTCGTTTCGTCTGTAGGTGGCAATATCAAACAAGAAATGCTTGCCACAGTTGGCCATGAGAAGGCCCCCAGCCTTAAAAATGTATGAATGCGTACAGGTGCCTTTTTAAAACTGCAGAACCGTATTCATGTTGCCTATACTTGAGGATATAATCAGAAACCACCCTTGGCGTATCACCATATTTACATACATTCGAGTGGCTGCTCTAGTCTATTTGCTATCTCCTGGGTGAGCTCTTTTGGGATTTCCCCTTTCTCTCCCCTGCTGACTTGCTAAGTAAGGTAGCTTCTGTCTCTTCCTGGGAATAACTTCTAACTTACAGAAATACCCACTTCTTCCCCATGCTTTGGTGTATTGTCCTTCCTTTGCACAAGGGAAAAGGGTTGAGAGCTGGGAGAAGAGGAAAGAGTTGGCACTAAGACAGATCTGGAACTCACTTCAGTCTTTTGCAGTGACTGCCACAAACACCCTGTGTACTTTTCTTCTTTTTAGCTTTAGTTACCCTCTGTATTGCTTTTATTGCACTTGGGTTGTTTTATAAATGTCTGTGTGTTTGTTAATATGGTTTCATTCTTTTATCTTTAAAATTAAAAAATAATAAAGAAAAAAAAGAAAAGTCCAGAAAGCTGTGTATTTGCTTCAGGGCAAAGAGGCGTAAGAAAAATTCTGAGCCTTGATTCTGGATTTTTTCCCCCTGTCTTAGAGGAACTAGCAAAAAGAGTGAGATCAATCACAAATAAAAAGAGCTGACCGCTTAAACTTGGGAACTGGATAAATCATAAAGGGAAAATAGGGACCCACCCAATCCAGTATATGGGGTGCTCCTGAGATTTTTCCACTGGCTGGAGGCTGAGGCCTCCCAGCTCCTTTTGCATCATCTCCTCTTCCCAGGCGCAGCAGCTCCCAAGAAAGTCTTGGGTGAGGAAGATATAAGGTAGATAGGAGGAACCTTTGACTCTCTGGCAGATTCTTCATTATTCCAATTAGGAGTCTATCAAAAGATTTAACAGGAACACTTACATGAGATGATTAAACTCTGTAGTGTTACTGTGATATGCAATGATTTTCTCTAGATTTCTAGCCCAACTGAGAACATACCAGAGCCTTATCCACCAGGTATTCTGCAAGATAAATAAATATATGTTGAGTTTCAAATAAGCCTGCTCCTGTTGTATCACATGACATATACAGAACACATTAAATTGGAACAGTAAGTCTTAACCCACTGCTTTTCAAACAGGCTGTTTAAAATTAAAAATGAACTTTTAAGAAAGATTGGTATGCAATTTGGCACTAAACTTGTGTGTAACGATATTAGTTTGTGTGTTAAACTTGTTTGGCTAAGTACCAAGTTAGCCTTTAGGAAAAAACTCAAAATATTTAATAAGCCTTAAGGTTTGAGTGCTGCATGAAAAACAGTAACAAAGTACCCAAAGCATTAACTCTTAATTGCTGTAACTCAGGCATTAATTAGAATAGCATGTTAAAAATGCAGTCAGCATTTAGTCGTGGAAATAAAATGTAAGATTTGTTTACCAAATTGAAAAGAAATTAGGAAAGTGATTTTTCTGCCAGTAATATTTCTACACAAATACACACTCCAAATCCAAGTTATTTTCCTAATTATATTTTATATGTGATGGATTTTTCAAACAATTTATGCATTTTATGCTCACAGTGGGAAATTAAACATCAATCAAATTTCCATTAAGTTGGAAATCACGCGTGCTGGTAGTTTTTAAAAGATGAGATTCTAGCAAGGTATTTGTCTTATCTCAGAATAATAATAATATGATGGTGATGTATTTATTGACTGCTTTAAAGTTTACAAATTCCTTTCCTGTAGAGAGCAAGGGGGATGTCTCATTGAAAATCCTGAGGCTTTGGCTTCAAACCTGGTATGAACCCCACCTGAGCTGCTTTCTACTTGTCCCTCCTGAGCCTCACATTTCTCATCTGTAAAATGGATCCTAGCACAAAATAATAACCTTACAAATTCTGCTAATTTAATCCGCATGGTTTTATTAGAGAGTAGGTTTTATGTCTTTTACATTTAAGGTTCAGGCAACTCATCCAGGGTCACCGAATCTGTTTTATGACTCCAAAGTCCAGGGCATTTCCTTCCCCTCAGCTGCTTCTGGAACAGAACTGTGAAAACTGATAAATACACAGCAGCAATGGTTCCAGTAAGAGAGTTATTCCCAGCCCCTTTCTTCCTGTGACGTAGGTGTGTGGCCACATGACTGAAGGCTGCTGGGATGTTAATTGAAACCCCATCCTTTCCTCCTGCTGCTCACAGAAGCCCAAGGACAGAGAGTGTTTATTACTAAAAGAGATCACCTGCACCCCACGCTCTTCCCCATCCCCAGTACTTGATTACTAATAGTGAGTTCCTTTGAACACACTCCACAACCTATGGCAACACACCACAGCTTGGAACCACTGCACAAAATGCACTCTTGGAAGAATAAGGAGGCCACTTTTTAGTAGGGTTCTCCTGTTGGGAGTGGGGAGGAAGGGTGGTGAGGTCCATAGGAGTCTAAAAAGTTAAGATTTCAGAGGCATTCAAAAGTTTTAGTAAGAAAGCAATTGAACTGGAGTGATGGTCTGCAGGCCCGTCTACAGGCAAGAGAGTCTGGAAGCCTGGAAAGCAGTTGGCCTATTGAGGTGAGCCCGATGGGATGCACTGAAGGCCTGGACTTAGGGGGCAGCAGAATAAACAGATCAGAGGAGGCTTGGAACCGGCTGGATGTGCATGAGCAACCAAGAAGGTCAAGGGGCCAAGGAAGCAAACAAAAGTTTCAAAATATGTTGTCTGTTAGAGATTAGGCTTCTTAGGTTTCTTTCTCAAATTATATTTCCCTTAAATGATTGTTATAATGACCTTGAGGTCTTAACACCCCTTGGTCGAGAAAAGACAATCTCCAGGAGTATTAAAGGGCAGAAAAAACAGCAGCTGAGGATTAGACATTACAGGACATAGTTGACAAACTATTAGACTCTTTCCCAAGTTGTTGCCTTCTGGAAATATTTATGTAGCCTGCAGCACTGAATTCAGATCTTAGGCCAAGTGACTTTGTGGTTAGGCTTGCAAACCTGTTACTACGTGAAGGAATGACTTTATTGAAGATAATTACAAGTGAGTGCTCAGTGACAGCATTAAGAAAATAGATTTTTTAAACCATAACTTATATTAGCTGGTAGACTGTACATACCATCCTCCTGGGTGCAGGATCCTTAAAGGTAGATTTTTTTCTTTTGTTCACTGCTATACCTCCATCAGAGAAAAGAACATGTCATTTAGTAGGTGCTTAATGAGTAAGTGTCGAATGAGTAAATGATCACAGGGATCACGAATGCTGGGTACAGGGCTGATGCTCAAGGAGTGCTGCGTACAGGCTGGTTGCATTGAGTTGGAATAAATTCAACAGCATTTGGAACAGTTAATGCGCTTTTTGTTTTTGTATTGTAAATGGTACGATAAAATGTTAGATGGATAATTCTGTACATGGGGCATTCAGCACTAACAAAACCACTCACTTTTTTGCTAGTGATGAGCTGGAACAGTTTATGGAAAGCCAAGGTGCATCCAGCCCAGGTATCCTCATTTTAACCACAAGTCTCAGCAAACCATTCATGCGACTAGAGAAGTACGTTACTCTCTTGCAAGAGCTGGAACGGCATATGGAGGTAAGAGCAGGCAAATTTTCCAACCTCCCCTACTGAGTCTGGGACTCTGCTCTAGGGGCAGAAGCCAATCTGCCTCCGAGCAAGCCTTGCTAAGGATTCAGAAACTGTCTTGGCTTCGAAGTGTGCTTGACCTGACCCTCCCTCTTCCCAGGCTTCTAGTTTCCCTCTGTGTGCTACAAAACAAGATTTCCCTTCTTGCCTATCAAATATTCACCATCCTTCATCGTTTCCCCTCTTCTGTTTCAAGCCTCGGTCACGCTGCTTCCCTCACGTCAGTGTTTACTTGTTGACTTAGGTTTGCTTTTACATTCGCATCTAGATGAAATGAGCTGGTGGTTTAGTCCAAATCAGACCTTTAGAAACCTCTGTCTTTCTGATATACTAGCCAGTGTTATTGTGAGAGGGAAAGCAAACCGACATGAACAAATACGAAGAGCCTGTTCACTCTGCACGTGAATATTTACCTCTAGACCACGGTGATTGGTTGGCTTTCTGATGCTGGATCACAATGGAAGGTTTTGGTATTCCTTAAAGATTAACAAACGGATCCAATGTCATTGTATCTCTCTACATATCATTGTCCCCCGTTTATGAACTTACAGCTTATTTGTAACAGTTGCAGTGGGACTATAATCTTTCCTAAATATTAGGATTTGCAAAGAGGCCTGATAATTGCATTTTTTCATTAAGAACCCAAATCCTCTTGTGATTAAAAACCAGTCAGCAGGGAAGGCGCCTTGAGCCGTCTTTTTGCGATTTGTGCGTGGGCTCTGCAAGTGTGGGTGCAAGAGGAGGGCCCGCTGAGGGAGGCGGCATTCACCCCAGTTGCTCTTCCTGTGTCTGGGGAAAGGTTTTGAGGTTTGAAAAGGGTTGATTATCTTTAAAGAAAAAGGTTGCACACTGCCAGGCTTGTCAGCGTTTGTAAGGATCGAAAAGCATGCACTCCGAGCAAAACCACATTCTCAGGGTATTCGCCCTACCTGAGAGCTGGAGGCAGTGAGGAGCGGGTGAGCACAGCCTGTCGGAATGAAATTTCAGTTAGGGCTCTGGAAGGTGTCGACCCGTGGATGCCTTTCCATAAGCTCAACCAGTTTGCCCAACCGTTTGAGGTTTGCCCCTCCTTGCTTATCACGAAAATCCAGAAACTAGTGGCCTCGGTTTCTGTTACTCCTCAGTGCCGAAGTACAAGTATGCATTCAATCTGAAGAAGTAAAAAAAAAAAAAAAACCAGAAAACACAGGCAGTAGATGTTCTGCCAGCCACGGTCCTCTGTCTCAGCCTTCGTCGTGGTGGAGCTTTGCCTCCAGCCCTGCCTCCGCTTGGTCACACTGTCTTTGGGTGCCTTCCATTGCCATCACCAATAGTCCACCGTCTTCATGCTGGTTCACCACTGGCCAAGAGGATCTCTCCAGGTTTCTGGTTATGCGGCGTGATTGCAGATAGTGGTAGATTGGAAGCTGGAACTCTCAGCTGTCAGCTGATTGGGGTAGGGATAAATTTGACTGTGAAGGAATGCTTGCTTGCTTTGCATTGCCAATACCATTCTTGGCTTGGAACAGACTGCTATTCTGCTCAGTTGTGTGTTTGCTCCCCCGCCTGGTTGAGCAAATTTGGTTTTCTCATTTCTCCAGCTGAGTTCCAGATACCCCCAAAGTCATGCCCTTATACACCCCATGTACCTCTGTGCTACATGACCTAAGGATCTCCCCCCGAACAATTATTTAATCACTGTGTTTGCTATTAAGTAGTTATTATCAAACTACAACAGAAATCCGGAAATGAGAACTCTTCTCTCAACAACCACACCTACAGTGTTGCTACTATGGTGTATCACCAACTGTCTGAAAGGTCAATTGCATGACAATTTAAGGATTAAAAAACAGACCCACATTTGGAATACAGTACCTCTAATTATTAGGTGATTAAGAAATTTTCTTTCGGTTTACAGTTCTATGAAATTTAACAGAGGTATAATTTCATGTTGTCACCACAATTGAGATACAAAACAATTCCATCATACCCCCAAATTCTCTCTTGCTAGCCTTTTGTGACCACACAGTTCTCCCACCCCTATCCCCTGGCAACTGATGATCCTCTCTCCTCTAATATTGTTTTCAAATGTATTCCTTTGACAGGATACTCATCCAGATCATCAGGATGTTCTGAAAGCAATCGTAGCTTTCAAAACTCTCATGGTACGTGATGTTAAAAAACTATCATTCTCCAATTTGTGTAGTACTTTGTTCATGAAAGAGTGATTCGTGTGTAGTGTATCTTTCCTTATACAAAGGTCTTTAGAATGGAAACAGTAAGCTTTCCTGACAGCATGGCTGTGATTGCTTCATTTAATTTTGTCCTCCAAAAATCATGCTTGCCTGTGAAAGGTTGCCAGGCTGAGGGTATAAAGCAATCACATTTGAAGTCTTGGCCACATTAAGCATTGGTGTGTAGGTGGGGGGTTTCCTTTCGTCTCTTTATCTTTACCCCTGTTGCTTACCCTCTGTCTGTGTAATTCGTCATTCACTGATTGGCATCAATACTGGATTCAACTATTTATGTCAAAAGACCTAAGTTTATTCTTTGCATATGAAAAAAATCCTTTACAAAAGGAAAAAAATGACATAATCAAAATACAATTGCTTTATATAGATTGCTACCAAAGGTATCTGAAATCTTAAATCTTGAGTATCATGGTTAATATGTCTTCTTGAACCCACTGGTGTAAAACCACTTGCTGCTGTTTTAGAAGGTGGTAAAACTTTATTTTGGGGTGATGGATTAAGCTTAGCTCCATTTTTTGACATTTCTGTAGCATCCTCAGTGACTTGGAACAATGCTTAGTTATTGATCACTGCTGTAAGCTTGTGATGGAGAATTCACCATCTCCTCATTTTTAGTTCTGTTGAAAGATCAGCAACTGATGTGTCTATCGGTAAAAAGCAAGTTGAAGACCAGGGTAAGGTGTTAGATTAAAATGACTACTGTTGTGAGCCAAAACAGTCAAATACTGGTAGATTTAGATGGCTTGACCTAACAGAACAGTTCACCAAAACCCTTGGCATTTATTATGGTTTGTGTCTGTTCTATTTTTCCTATGTAAATGGAATTTAAAATCCCTCTTTAAAAAACTATATTTCTGATCATGTTGTAAAACTTGCTTTGATGACTGAAGTAAATTTATTCCCACTTATTGGTGCTTAAAATATCTATATAATGAATTTATGTCTCCAAGCTTCCATTTAGCTGAATGAAGCAGCAGAGTTTTTATAGAAAAAGCACTTCCAAAATACTATGACAGTACATTCATTTGGAAACAGTAACATAACTAACCATATGCTTATTTCTGTATTTAATTTGGAATGAATGTTAAATGACTCTAAGAGAACTTCACACGTTCTGAAGCAGAGAGTTAAATTATATATAGTGTTCCCACTCCACATAGTATTGGCAAACTAAATTATTTCTTGGTTTGAATTTTCAGTTTAGCATCATCAATTCAGCTTTATCTCTTTGCTCCAGTCATTTTAGGAATAAGAATTAATTTAGTATTTTTATAGCACTCTATTGTTACTCCTGAAACAGAGTAAAGGGTAGTGCATATGTCTCATTATAAGCTCACTTTGATTCACTGGGGCATAAAGAAAGAATTTATATTCTTTTTGCCAGTTTCTTTTTTTTTATAACTCTTGAAGTCTTTTTTCTCCCCCTTTGGGTTTTGTAGTTGGTATGGTGCTTGCCTTATTGGAAAATGGGCATGTGTTGGAAAAATGAAATTATTTTGCAAGTAAACCTATATTTACCCAAAGATAGACAAGGTGGAGAGGAGCTAGGGCCGAGATACCAGCTAGCAAATCCAAATGTACCAATTATGCTCCTGGCCCTGCATGATGTGATGATTCAACTGCTTATCTTCCAAGATTTCTTACAGACAGGGAAAAACAAACCGTTTCTATCATTTCATCTTGATGCTCTGGTACAATGAAAAAGAGCCCTTTCTTATACAACTTTTAAGGGTGCAGAGCTAGAAATGGGGAGTAGTAGATCTTTTTGTCTGTCAGGATAGGGCCTGGTCATGAGATTCAGGATGAGCAGTAGGGAAACTCAGTGGGAATCTGAGAGTTAAAAGCATATCTTACTTTGATCTTGTTTTCGGTCTCCTAACCATCACAGGTCTGTTTCATAAGCATTCCTGTTTCGTTATGTTCCCTTGGGTCCTGTAGGGGCAGTGCCAAGATCTGAGAAAGAGAAAACAGCTGGAGTTGCAGATACTTTCCGATCCTATTCAGGCATGGGAAGGGGAGGATATTAAAACCTTGGGAAACGTGATCTTTATGTCACAAGTAATGGTGCAGTATGGAACATCTGAGGTAAGGTATTTCAGATCAACACTGTTTCTTCTATCTTTCATAGTTTTTTTCCTTTACTTGTCTGTTTATCAAGGTCAAGTGCTTGAGCATTCAACTCAGAAACTGAACACCTTTTCTTTGGCCAACATGGTGGTAGGTGCTATGGGAGAAGGGAAAGAATAAGCCACAATCCCCACTCTCAGAGAACTCATTAAAAACAAATTAAACACAAGCCCCCTGTGGAAAACAACCAGAAAGTCAGTGTTAGATTGTACAGCCTCAATAGTGTATGCGTAGAAACACAGAGAAGGGAGAGACCAAGAAGGCTTTACGGTGACAGAATTGAGGAGCAGGGGGGCCACAGAAAGTAAAGGGGAGGATAAGGAAGGTAGACAACATTTCTGTCTCAGGAGAACAAGAATGTGGCTTTTTTCCCCATAAGACACTAAAGAACCTAGACGGTTGGGATCAGAGGAAGCATTTTTGGCATAGTGAAAGAAAAGGTTGAAATAGGTTAGGAGAATCCTTAGCCATACATCGGGCTAGAGGAGTTCAGATTGACACAGCAGATGATGGAGAACAGTGAAAGAGCCATAAGCGGCAGAGAATCATGACACGTAACCTGACAACCGTATGTGTCAGAATGAGACCAGAAGCAGGAAGGAAAGCTGGCGTGGGAAGTGAGGAGTACCCCAGGCATCGGGGAGACAGAGGGAACAGAGCAGAGAGGGCGTCTCTGGGGCATATTTAGTTGGGAAAGTAGCAGGAAGGGATGGCCCATGGGTTCCAGGAGATGACACATGCCATTTTCTGCCTGCTTTCATGGAACTGTAGATAACCAGGTGGAGGTATCCTGTAGGTCACTGTGAAAGTGGTATGGAAATGTAAGGGAGACGCAGACATTTCGATGTCCATGACAGATGTGCCTCCCTGTGAAGGAAATACCCAAAGAAAAGCAAAGGGCTGAAGATGGATTATTTCTCTTAGGAAAGGGCCAGGGCAAGTGAGAAAGGTTGATTATGTCACCTAGTATGATTTATCAGGTGTTAGAATTGTCCCCCTCTCCCAAACAATCTTCCTATAGTCCATGGCATGCCTCTGGCAGAGATTCATTACTTTGGGTTAACAAGCAATCTCATTAGAAATCCGCATATCCTGGGGAATGTTAATGCACTGAGTCTACTAGTCATTCACATGCTTGAGTTAAACCCCTTGGGTGAAAGGAGAGGAATCAGGGCCAGAAAAAAAAGACAAAAGGGCAGTAGAAGAGAATCAAGGGATTGTGGTGTCCTGGAAATTCCTGGAGGAGCACTTGAAAGTGGTCAGCGAGCTGAGTGCTGCAGGAGGTTCATAGGTCAAGGAGCATGAGGGCCAAGAAGAAGCCATTGACTTTTGCTAGAAGGCTGTTATTGATGGTTTTGGGAGAGTGGTGGGGAGTGCGGTTAGGGAAGGATCAATGGGGAGACGATGAAGGCAGTGAGCAATCTGACAATAAAATGTCAAGAAACATGATATTACCTATAAGGAACCATATGGGGTGAGCAAGGCCTTTTAGGACAGAAGATGTGCATATGTTAAAGGCAAAAGAGGAAAAGCTGGTAAGATAGGAGAAGCTGCTGATGGAAGGAGGAGGGGAGATGTCGGTAGAAGAAAACTAGACAAGAGAAAGATTCCGGAGTGCCGAGCACTTGTTAGAACAGTTATTCCTCTCAAATGGGAGGAAGGAGCTGGGACAGGAATGAGGATCTGAGCATGGATGCCAAACGGAGTTTTTCATCTACTAATTGCATGTCTATTTAAGGGCTCCGGAGCAGCCCTCGTGTGTTAAAGTTCCTTCTGTAAGATATAGTTAGCACTAATGCACCGTGTATCTCAAAAGAGCTAGAAGATTTTGCATGTACTCACCATACACAAATGATCAGTGCTTAAGATGGTGGACATGCTCATTATGCAGACTGGATCATTACACAGTACATACACGGATTGAAATGTCATCTTTTGCCCTATAGATGGGTATAATTATTATGTGTCCATCAAAAAAACCCCATGAAATTAGGCTAGGGATATAGCTTGAGTGAAGAGTGTGTGCTTAGTATGCTCAGGGCCCTTCGTCTGACCCCCAGTGCCACACACATGTGCACACAAACACACACACAATCACACAAAGTTTTAAATTAGTGTGTATTTGTGTTACATAATAGTTACATTCATACTGAGGAATTGCTACATAGATGATCTTGATCATTTTGGTTCCCTTATCCTGCTCTGTGTCCTCCTTCCTCCCCCTCCTCCTGATCCCTTCTCCTCACCAAAAAGTCTGCCTTTTTGTTTACTATAATCTCTCCTTTATTTTACTCTTTTTTTTACTTACCTTTTAGGTTTCTCATGAAATATTTAACTTTTTGTATCTGACTTCTTCCACTTAACATTATGGTCTCAAGTTCCATTCATTTTATTGCAAATGACATGATGTCATCCTTTATGACTGAATAATATCCCATTGTTGCAGAAAATATTAAAATGCATTTCACTTCTTTGTTTGACATGAATATAACAATTATCTTATTCTTAATTATTAAAAATAATTTTATGAATGAAAATGTAACATAGAGCACAATAATAATTAAATGGAGTATTAGTATGAATATTAGTAACTTAGAGCATAATCAATGTTCTACCACTTGAAAACTGCTTCATTTTGCTACTTTTCAAGTAAAATTATATTTCTGTTTTGTGAACCTAGAGATTTATTTTGTGCCCGTGACTAGCACAGCACACTGGTGCATAAACTGTGTGACTGTTTGGCTTACATACTTTGCAAACAAGCCTGGCTGTTTGTGTTTAACTGTTATGTGTAGGAAAGAGAAAAGTATTGCAGATATATGTTTATGTCAAAGTGAAATTTAACTAGTTTTCGGCTCTAAGTTGGATAACTTAAAAAAATCACCATTAATATCTCAGTTGGTTCTGTAAGACCTGTATTGGAAAGTAGTGATTCCAGAAACTCTTAGCAAAAATAGTCTCTGTTTAATATTTTTTATTCTACTTCAGGACAAAGAGGAACGGTACCTTATGTTGTTTTCAAATGTCCTGATAATGTTATCTGCAAGTCCTCGGATGAGTGGCTTCATCTATCAGGTGAGCTGATTTCATATAAAACAAGTAACAGGGCTCAAAAGCAGGCTTCTGTGCAGATATCATATCTTTACTACAGCACTAAAAGCTCAAGCCAGCAAAGGCGAATGTTTTGACCCTTCCTTATAATTAAACAGCTTATAAGAACAGATGTTCCTTAGATCAAAGACCTTTGTGCTACAATAATGAGTTTGTCCTGAATATCCACTGCTCTGGTTACAAGCTAGGTTTTGAATACATAAATAGAAATTTAAGTCTATGACTTGATAAATCAGCAGTAACATCGTACGGGCCCATATCATTATAACTGAGAAAATACAAAGCTGGCACCTGCCTCCATGCTTGTCTTATTGCAATCACATCACATGCTTCAGGTTTCTAAGATACAAGTCATTAAATTCCTTTGAAAATTAACCTTCCTTCAGTCTGTTCCCAAGATACAGAGTATAAGTTATTGCTGCCTGGTGTACCCTGGCCTGGCTATCAGATTTTCATAAAATTTGACCCTTTATTTCATTTATTGATTCATGTGAAAATATACTAGAAAAATAAACTCTTTTATAAATCCTGACCTTATGATTTAGGATGTGTTAGGCAAAGACAACCCGCTTGCCTGCTGTTTTCTTGCCTGATTAAAATTTAGAACAGGGAAACATTATCTATTGGCAGACTGGAGAGATATGTCTAGCCATCATTTAACAATGATTCCTGAGGGGAGCAGAAATTCTAAGAGAAATGCATAGGTATAACTACAGAATTGATGAGAATGTTCTCTTTTTTTTCTGGTAGGGAAAAATACCAATAGCAGGAATGGTGGTGACTAGATTAGATGAAATTGAAGGGAATGACTGCACATTTGAAATCACAGGTGGGCAATTTTTTCCTTTTCACATAGCTGCTTCAAATCTTTCTTAGAATGAAATGGACTTTAAATAAATAAATGACATTATTTCTACTATATAATCCATGAGAAAGTTCTAAATGCTATGGCACAGTGCGTTCCACTTCCTGTGATAACTAAGGAATGGTGCCAGAGCAGAGAAGTTTCCCAGTTGTTCCAAAACCTCCACTTTGCCTTTAGTTTCAGTCTTCTCTTATAGAAGAGCTACTTGTGAGAGCGAAGGAATAACAAAATAGGTTGATGTAAACTTAATTTTCTTTGTCTCATCTATTCTCTGATGCCAGAGGAGCCAAAGATGTACACTTTTATCAGAGATTTTTACATCAGCCTGTGAAATTAGCATGACTTGGTTCTGTTCCTAAAAAGTGCTGAGAAACCGTGGAACTTGCTTCACAGATTGAATAAAATGTCAGGTCTTGATAATGCTCCTTGATATTTTGGTCTATTATCCCTTTTTAAAGCTGGTGTAATTTACAGGTAATGGCTGCACTTTTTGCATTCACTCAGCACTGCAGCTAAGACTGGGTTCGTGGGCCCTGGCATTACGGGCACCCTTCTTTCACAGTAAAAAGCCTGAGGTTTGGTATATTCCCAAAGATTGTAACCAGTCTTAGTTGGACCTTTTTTTGACTTTGATATTAGGGAAATTAGTACAGTATCCTCATTTTAGTCTATGAAATAGATACACTATGTGCTTAAATTTTCAGGTTGTATGTGTATTTATGAGGTGAGATTTTAAATTACTTCTGAGATTCTGTAAACAGTAGAAATCACGGATGTTTATTTTTATAAGCCAGACATGAGTATTTATTTACTTTATTATCACTGCATATATATTCCCAATATAGAAGTTTGAAAGGGTTATCCCATAGGTATGAAGATCCCTGAAAATAGGCGCTCAACTCCTGATTACATGAAGTAGATTTATGAATGATACAATCTCAAGGTTCTTCTTGTGTTCTCTCAAATATTCATAATTGGTGGCACAGGTAGCATAGTAGAGAGGATTGTGGTCCACTGCAATAACAACCAGGACTTCCAGGAGTGGTTGGAGCAGCTGAGCAGGCTGACCAGAGGGCCTGCATCTTGCAGTTCATTATCCAAAACATCGTCATCATCATGCAGTGCTCATTCCGTAAGTAGACCTTTTTGTTCTGACCAGGGATTCTTGAGGATTTTGTCTGATTTTGCCTGCTAAATACTTACAGGAAGCAGCAAACACACCCTTTGTGTCTGGGGTGTGTATCTGTAGATTTTGAAGTACAGTTAAACCTCACTAATTCTAATTTCTCATTGTGAGGCTCATCCAGATTAATAAAGTATCACTTAGAAATATCTGATTTTGTTTGACAATATTCAGATACTCCAGCTAACTGCTAGCGAAGTGTCTCTAACCAGAAGTTCTGCTAAATATTATAATGATAAACAAGACTTTTTTAGCAGCTGTTATTCTCATGTTAATAACATGCTATCCAAACAAGCAGCTTACTTCCCTAAGTACCTAAACATCTCCATGTAACCTCACTCATGCCATTACATTTGCTCAGTAACTTCTTCCAATTATAAATGTGTAGTACTGTCTGCTTCTGAGTTATCACCGACTTAGAAGTCATGGAATCCGAATTGATGAGATTTTACTGTACTTGTTGGGTGAAATGGAAGGTGTGCTGTGTTGTCTGTTAACACTCAAACCTGTGATGCCAAAATCCCTGTTTGAGTGCGTTGCGTGTTGTGGTAGAATATGGACTTTGGCATCAGTCTGGGTTCATATCTTGTCTTTGTCCGTTACTAGCGAGTTACTTCACTTTGCTGAGTCTATGTTGTAGGCTGCTCTGATGGAATACCCTATTTAAGCACCTATTGGAGTTCCACGCACATCACTGAACTCGTGTTACCTATTACTCCACTCTCCTCCCCTACAGAGGAGAAAAAAGTCTGACTTTAATAAAATTGCAGGACAGAGAGGGAGGGAGAGAAACAGGGGGAAAGCATAACAACAGTATCAAGGGATGGTGAGTCAATTTTGGTGCTTTTCCTTAAAGACACCCTCATCTTGAGTGGGAAGTGCTGGCTCTCAAACTAGAGACTTGTTTTTCCATCTTTGCCTTTCTGTGGCTGGCTTTGCTATTGTTGTTCTCTCACGGTGTGGCACAAGGTCGGGGTCAGGTGGCAGATTGCCGACATCTCATCAGACATTTTCCCAGTCTTTTAGCTCTACTGGACTGCCCCGAGGACCCTTGGAGCCTCCTCAAATTATAAAACCGTGGAGTTTAAGTTGTCTACGACCTGCACCTCCACTTAGACCATCAGCAGCACTAGGTTATAAAGAGGTAATTTTGCTACATATGGTATAACATGCTTCTGACAAAGCCGATTGTGTAGCTTATTGCAAATCATTCTGTCACAATGTGCTAGAATTTATGAGAGGTGGTAGTTGTCGGTCAGTCCTGAGTTGTTAGACTCGGTGATATTTTATTTCCTAGATTTCCATTCCTCCTAGTCCCTCTACGAATATTTGTCAAATATCCACAGGATTTATGTGCATTCCCTGATTTTCCCTTGTCTCCTCTTGAAGCACCTCTGCTTTACCTTTACATAATTCTGATAATTCTTAAATTAATTAACTACACACATCTTAAACCAGAACCACTTCATTTGGAATGAATTTCCAGCTAAACCGACCCAGCTGTGCATTTTGTAGCACTGTGATCTATTAAACCAAATCAGGAAAGTGCTATGGGACGAAGCGCTGAGTCCAAACTGTGAAAGTGATATTTGCTATAGTAGGAAAGGGAAAAGAAGTTTAAAAAAGGAATATCTTCTTAAAGAGAGGCTTCTCAGCAACAACTGTAGAGGACAGCTAATATTCGGGCAGTGTGGGGATTTCAAAGCTGTTGTTTCTCCTCTCAAAGTTGAAGTCAGGAAATGTCAGTCACTATCTTCCATAACCGGGTAGAATGTTACCTTTTTCATCCAGTGAACTTTCCCCCTCTCACCTGCTCCTAATTGTTTCAGATTTCAGAAAAGATGCTCATTTGTGAATTAACAGTTCTTTAAATAGGTTTCATTGAGTGAAGAATGAGTCTGTGACAGTTGTAAGATGAACCTCAGAATTATGATGCAAAGGCAGCGTATAGTTTCCTATCAAATGTGTGTTTTTTGATGAATGGTGCAGACTTAGCTCAGTTTTGAGTGCGTTTCAATTTAAAGCACCATGCTTCTGCTTCCACTCATTGTTGCCTACAGGTCTTAGTGCAGAAAAAAATAGAACACTATCTGGACACTGGGGGATTTTTTGACCTTTTCAATTTGGCATGGTAGGAGACGTAGCGCTGAGCTGAATCTTTATTGTGTACCCGTATTCAGAATTCGACCAGGAAACTGTCCTAAGACTTGCTTTGGAAATTGATCTGCAGTTCCTTCAATCATCCAGTTTCTTCTTTGACTACCTAAACTGGGAGTGCCAGTTCATAGTTACCTAGGTTTCATTTTTGATAATGGTTATTTTGTAACTGCCAGTCATTAAATTCAAATTATGGTGAGCTTTGAAGGGTAAAGTTGACTTCATCCTTCACATAACTAATCTATTAAAACTAAGGCATGATCACTTTGTTTCTGCTGGGGGAAGAGAGTTATTAATATATTCTTACTGTAGTGTATATTTCAGTTATTTTCAGCATTTGTTGTTCTGCACAGAACTATATTCTTTGGACTTTTGCATGATGATATTGCACCTGAAACTAATGTGGGAAATGTGATGATGTTCTCTCTGTGTAATTTATGATAACACTAACATTTCAAATGTTGTTTTAGAATTATTGATAAATGGATTTGATCATTATAACCATCGACCTCTCACGCTTATCTTCTCTTTCTTTACATATTCATTTTAGAGGATGTCTTATATCTTAAAGGTAAGGGTAGAACAATATCTTTGGCTTACAGTGACATCATAATGTTGTGCTGTAACCTTTGATGATTGAAACTTTCTCTCATGCTTGTTTCGTCCTTTGTTATAATTGGTGGCTAAAATATGAAGATGCAATTCTGACATGTAAGTACTTTTTCAAAAAGTAGGCTTATGTAAGATATATATAAAAATGTCATCTTATATGTAATGCCTTCAAAGTGCCCACTTTCCTTTTTTTAAAGCAGTTTTTGTCCTGTTATTTTGCCACATGTGAGTTTCTCATATCTCTTTTCAAGTCTAAGTAAATCACTGTGGCTAAGTAAAAGAAATTCTTGTTTCATATATTTTAAGGTAGTAATTATTATCCATGCATCATGGAAGATTATGGTAAGGTAATCATGAGGGTTTTCCCCCTAAGTGTAAGATTACAATCTGTTCATTGGATATTGGCAAGAAACATTTTTTTCAACTTGTTGGTTATTCATATGATTAAAAGATCAACAATTCCATTGTCTACTAATTAAATATGACTTTATATAGATATACATATATATAGTTAAACTTGGCTATAGATATATTACTCTTAACCCAAAAATATTCATCAGGAAATTCTTCATTTGGCTTTGCTCTCTGACTTTAAGACAATTACTTAGTTTCTCTTCCTTAATTTTTCCATTTTCATTTCCATAAATGAAAATTATATTCTCCTACGTGGGACTGTTGCCAAGGAAAACTCACTGAAATAGTTTTGAAACTCTTAGAGAACTGATAAATATTAGTGGTTACAGTTGTTCCTTCATTCCCTTAGAACCCTGTTCGTAAGAAGCGTCAACCCAGTAAGGAATACTATTATTTTTTCTAGGGTTAACATGCATTACTATCCCTGCAGATGGTACCCTAAAGGCATTGGGCCTTCTAGAGAATCTGCCTAGTCTTCAGTAGACACTCTATTCTTATTCACATCCGTATGGCACTTACGGGGAAGCTGTCATTGCCTCTGTTTTATTTAACCTTGTAGAGTTTGTTGCAGCCATTTTTTATATGTATTCTGTTAAATTTGGTGCATTCCCGAGACTGTCAGACTAAGAGAGAAGCATTCTATTTGATTTCATTTGCTCTATTTTAATTTGAACTTGAGGGAGAATTTTAATTTATTAAGAAATCTTTATCTTTATAGGAGTCCAGTAAAAGCCCCAAAACAATGAAGAAGTTTCTTCATAAAAGAAAGACTGAGAGAAAACCATCAGAAGAGGAATATGTGATTAGGAAAAGTATGTGTTTTGTCCTTTCTGGAAGTTATTTATGGATGAACTAAAATGAGAATATTTTGAAAGCAGATGATTAGAGCAATTTGTTCTCAGCATCATCTGTCATAAAAATGCACGGAAAGGTTTGGTCACCTCTAAGACTCTTAAGTAAACTGCCTCCTGCTGTACTTCCTGTCATCTTAGGCAGACATCATCTGTGTCATTTCCATGATACAGAACATTTCACCCCACTAGAATGGCCCATTTGCTGTGAATGCATTTTTTTCTTAATGTCTGATGCTTGAGATATTTTCCTGTACAGAGATAAACTAAATAAACTTGAAGGCTGAAATCCTATAGAAGTCTCATACTTAGTGACATTCTTAGTTAGCCAAGGGAATTAACCTCTTGGTATCTAGACATGGGGCTTTATTTTGAGATAAACTGCAGTCAGTCAGCCAATCAGTATGTACCTAGTTGCCTCCAAGGCTATGAACAACGTGCTTGGCACACAAGCGAAGGACGAAGTGATGTCTCACAAAAAGGTGGTAGGACTACATCAGTTTAAAATATAATTTAGATCAGTCTTTGCTAGACTACAGCTTCTGCACAGACCTTTCCCACCCCATATTTGAATGGGAACATCAGACTTTTGACAGGATGCTGCCATCCGGGCATTTCACGAGTGAACTGGGGAGAGGAGGCAGGATGAGAGAGATTCAGTGTCTGTGCTGGTTGGTTGAAAAGATGGGTGGTATTAATGGAGAAAGCTTCCTAGAGAAAGAGAACATTGAAATTTAAAGGAGAGGAAAGCAGTGATATACTAAGTGAGAGTTGAGGTCAGTGACAAGCTCGGGGATAGGATTTTGGCCTCTAAAAGATGACTGAGAGGAGCCCCCACACATATTTAGAGCTCTGAGCTTTAGGGGCAGGTTCTTCAGTACTGAGCTCACCAAGGTTGACCCTAGAGCTCTGTGGGGTTGCTGCTACTCTTCTCCATGAGGGCTGGATAGCTCTTTCTCCTGCCATTCAGGACCGCTACTGGTCAGACAAGTCAGCCCTTGCAGTGCAGCGTGCTGCATCATTGTGAGGGGGCAGAGGCATCTCTCTCAGAGAAGTCATTATGAATTGAACTCCACAGGTACAGCTGCTCTGGAGGAGGATGCCCAGATTCTTAAGGTGATTGAAGCCTACTGCACCAGTGCCAATATTCAACAAGGTAATGGCTCAAGGAGGTTCCTGCAAAGTACCTGCTTTCATTTTAAAAAAATTTCTTGGTACATGTTTTCAGCAAATAATGGTTATATTCATTGTAGAGAGTTGGCACATGTATATACCACATCTTACTGTTTTTGCTTTTCCTTCCCCTTCTCTCCTTCCCTCTCGCACCATCTCTTGGTCCCCTTCCCATTTGCAAAGATCTAGCTCCCTGAGTACTTTCTCAAATGCATGATGTTTCTTCTTTGCTGCTCACTACCTCTTAGAAAAACAAAAAAGTGGTGCAGTTTGGGTTGCAGGGTGTGGAGAACAGTGACTTGGTGCAGAGGAGCGGTGCAGGACTGCATCTTTCAGATAAGGTGGTTTTAGCTACCGCACGGTTTGTTTACCCACTGTTGCTTTTCAGAGAGAGACAGAGAGGGAGGGAGGGAGAGAAAGAGAGAGAGAGAGAGAGAGAGAGAGAGAGAGAGAGAGAGACAGAGACAGAGACAGAGAGAGACAGACAGAGAGAGAAGAAAGAAGAGGAGAAGAGAGGAGAGAGAAAAGAGAGGAGAGAGAGAGGGAGAGAAATGCAAGAAGGGAAAAGTTAAAGGTGACGCAAACGAAAAAAAAAATTTTCCTTTGACATACACAGATACCTTTGCCAGCACTAGTTAGGAATTAAAGAGCCCAGAGAGTTCCTGTGTCTGTGAACTGATGCTAATCTCATCTTATAGGCAGGTTTGGAAAGGAAGTCAAAATTACTATCTTTAATCAGCTGCATATTTAAGCAAACAATGCTTCACCAGACTCAAGTTTCAAAGTTGCACCAAAAATCTGGAAATGTAGCTGCACAGCAGGGCTGTTCAAAATGTAAAAAGTCTATCAGGAGCCATCTGGAGATGGTATTAGACTGAACAACTTTCAGGTTATAAACTGAAAGCCAGATAATGTTTTCTAGTGTACTCTGTACTTTTCAAAAGTTAAGTCATATGAATTATGCCTTTTGTCGTTCATTATCATATATATTCAGGATACTTCATGTGAGATCTTCACATGTATGTAAAAATGAATGCCCCGTAATGCTACACTTTGGACAGCCCCTGCCCAGTCATGTGCTAAGAGAGAGGACTTCGCAGGTGGCTTGCTTTGACATATTCTTTTAAAGGAGCACATCTCTAAGGCTCTCATGAGGAATGCGTTCACTGAAAGTACATTTGTCCATGCAGAAGGGATACTTTCCACTTCACAGATAAAACCTGGCTGTGCTTTCAGACACACCCAGCTCAGGGAACAAGTTTCAGGGAGTTAGGAAAGGAAAGTGAGGGTGATTTTCATTATGAAAACTAGGACAGGGATGAGGACAAAGGGACCCTAGAAAGAACATCCCACATGCAAATCTGACCTCATCCCTCCACATTATTTCTTTTTCCCATCAATTGACTCCATGCAGAGGCAAAGGCCCAGGCTGGCGTTTTAGCCCAAAGAGGCATATTTTGCCCCTCTTCTCCCTTTCCTATGTGGGAAAGGTCTAGCGCCATCCTCAGCACGTGGCAGGCCTTTTGGAGCCAGTCCGTCCCCAACCAGAAGTCCTGCTTCCCCAGAGCTGACTGCTGTTGGCTTTTGCTGCATTCATTCAGTCTATCAGTCTTCAGTGCACTATTAAGCACATAAGCTGCGCTATTTCTTGGGGACGGCGGAGACACAGCTCACCTCAGGAAAGCAGGGAGCAGTCAGTCAAGGCAGTCAGTATGCACACCACTGAAAGAGCTCGGCCTGGAAGAGATGAAGCCAGTGACTCAGGGAGACGCAGCCTGCAACATCCGCGCTCTGAGAGGAAGGCTACAGAGTGGGTGGGAAGTGGGAAGTTCAGGAGAACGGTTTTGTCAGGCCCGACGTCCGTTCTGCCACTTCCTCTGTCCCACAGCCTGGAGTCAGTCTGAGCAGAGAGCAGTAGGGACACTGGCTCTTGAGCCAAAGTCCCAAGTGACCCCCCGTAGGACTGTGAAAAGACAGGACCAGAATGTTCCTGTTGAAGCCCTTTGAGCATATCGTGTCCCCAGCAGTTCTGGGCTCAACCTGGTCTTTACTAAAATCACAGAGCACCATAGTGAAGAATGTGGTGTGCTGTGCCTTGGAGATTTTCAGGGATAGAGTGATCACTGGTCAGCCTTTTGCTCTGGAGGAGGCATAATAGGAAAGTCCAAGGTTGTTGGCTGAGGACAAATATTGCAGTGGCCTTTTCACTGATTTCTCTGAACGCAAAACGCACCTTCCCCAGGGGTTAGATAATGTGTTTGGCCACTTAGATTTTCCCGTGTCAGGAAGATCCAGTCAGCACGTGCTGGGCATCTGCCCTCTGTGTGCAGCATGGCAGCATGCTATGAACGGGGACTCTATCACGCTGGCGGGAAGGAGCGAACACCTATCAATGATCTTCTGTGGTGACTCTCCATGGCCCTCTTCTTGCCACTCTCATTTGTAGGTGCTCGGAAAGATTCGGTTCCACAAGTCTTACTCCCCGAGGAAGAGAAACTCATCATCGAAGAAACTAGAAGCAACGGCCAGACCATCATCGAGGAAAAGTGAGTGGAGCAGGCGACACTTTTCCTGCCTTGTCAGGGGCTACAAAAAAGTGCTGCTGGCAGGGCCTCCATTGAAGGATTGTTCCTTGGCGTCCAGAGACACAGTCCTCTTGGCCAAGCATTCAGTCGGGAGCCTAGGGAGTGCTGCTTCCCTCACAAAGGGGAGGAGGAAGGGAAGGAGAGGCACAGGGCCAGAACCTCCTAAAGAGCTCCATGCCTCGGCTGTGACTTTGCCAGCCAGCTTTCCCATGGCTGCTTCAGAGCCCCTGTGAACCCAGTGCGCTGAAGGGTTCAGGAGATGTGGAGGGGCTGGAAAGACTGGGGAAACTGAGTCAGGGATTGGACTCTTACGTGGTTGCCTCATTTAAAATCTTACAGCAATCCAGTAAGGCAGGAAGGACTCCCACCCCTTTTCCAGAGGAGGGAACTGAAGTTCAGGGAAAGCACTGTACAGCTCTGACCTACCATTCGCAGTAGTAAGTGCAGCCTAAAGGGGGAAAGTCAGGTTAATACCTTACAGCTCGTGAAATCAACACAAAGTAGCCAAATAATTCATTTGTTTAAACATGAGTCATTTCTGAAGTCAGGCCTGAATTTGCATAGGGCAGCACATTTCAAAGTTCTTGGCTTCACCAGTGTGCTTTTACATCTGGCGTGTGAAATGATGTGCTGAAATGGTAAAGAACTTGGGCCTGAGAGAGCAGGAAGGGGTCCACTCCCAATTCTGCTGCTCATTAGCTATGTGACCAGGGCAAGTCCCTGCACCCCTCTGTTTCCCTCATTGATAAAATGGGGATAATAGTAATTCTTTCAGAGTTGCTGTGTAATCAGATATAATAAGTATAAAGGCTAATAGTCAATGAATAATGATAGCTATACGTACTATTACTGTGCTAATCTCCACAACCTTGAGAGGGTATCAAGGAAGGTGCTATTATCCCTATTTTGTATGTGAAGAAACTAAGGCCAAGAGAGGATGAGAAAAGAACCTAGTTAGTGGCAGGATCAGAACTGGAACCAGGATCTGTAAACTGCTTGTTCAGGGAAAGAGCCAGAGGAGAAAGACTGTTCCACGACCTTGTCAGAACACTTCACCCTCCTTCTTGGGGGGAAATCAGGTATAGTCTGTGGCATTTTCCAGCAGTAATGCCTTGACTTTGAGTCATGTAAGGTCATGGGGAATCAGATTAGCAAAAAGGGCTGTGCCATAGTGCAGATTCTCTAGTACGGTCAAGGCCTTGAGATGCCCTTCATTACACATTAATGATATTCATTCCTGTCCTAAAGCTACAGAAACCAAAACCATAGGATGGTAATCCAAAAAAGTTCAACCTTGTAAAGGCAGAAAGTAGAATCATGGTTTTCAGGTGCTAGGAAGGGCTGGAGGAAATGGTGAGATGTTGGTCAAAGGGTGCAAATTTTCAGTCATGCAAGTTGGACTAAGTTTTGGTAGACCTAACATACACCACGGTGACTACAGTTATAATACTCTCTTGCATACACGAAAATTCTTAAGAGAATACCTCTTAAGTGTCCTCACTGGGGACACAAAAAGTAGTGACTGTCAGGTGATGGGTGGGTTAGTTAGTTAGATTGTGGTCATCATTTCACAAAAAAACATATATCAAAGTATCATGTTATATACCTTAAATATTTACAATTTTTGTTTGCCAATTATACCTCAAGTCAAACAAGAAAACTCTTTTTATGGCCCTGGTCTCATGTTTCCTGGTCACATAAACTAGAAACGATTAGGAAAGGAAGAAGGCTATATAGGAGAGACGCCATACCGCTGCATTGGAACAAGCAGGTGTGCCGGTAGGTTGTTCTACTGTGAAAAGAAAGAACATGAGGGCATTCAGAGCAGGACCATTCCCCATCTGCTAGGAAGCCCACTGCTTCCAGGATCTGTATTTTTATAGAGCTAAGTATTGCTTAATACTTTAGTGCCAGCCATTCATCTCTGAACTTTCTTTTTGTGTTCTAGGAGCCTTGTCGATACTGTTTACGCCTTGAAGGATGAGGTCAAAGAACTGAAGCAGGTAATAAAACATAAAAGTCATTTTCTCAGATAACAGAAACATTCTGTCTTCCTTGCCACCCGCTGGTAGATGCTGTCAGGAAATGTCCAAGAGCAAGGTGGGGGGGTTATTTTCCTTGTATCATCAAAGTGAGTTTTATTGAGTTTACCATATGACCTTAGGTTTAAATTTCTGAGGCTGCTTTTGTTCCTACTTGGTAGTTTAAATAAGTCCTAAACTTAGTTATGACTTTCCTGTTCCCTGATGTCCAAAAACAGAACCTGAGAAAAGGCAAGTCGATCATGGGTGTGTAAGTGTACATATAAGTCTAAATCACAGTTTGTAGATGCCTCTGGAGATGCGACGGGGTGCTCCCCGTTACACACTCTACCTGTGCACAAAGATTACAATCACTGACAAGGAGGATCATGGGCAAGAAAGGAGAAAGCAACTGGAAAACCACTCAAGAGGTTGTTATAAAGCTAGGATGAGACACACTGAGGTCCTGCAGTGAGGGAGGCCAATGAGGCCATGAAGGCACAAAGTGACTGTGAGGAAGGCATGGTGCAAAGTTTGGACTTATGAGATATGATGACATGATGTTGGGATCAAGAAAGAATAAGGATTAAGAATGAGGTTTTCCCCCCTAGAGTATCAGGTTTGATATGGTGGTGCCCCTCATGGAGATCAGACAGCACAGGAAGAGTTTGAGGGTGATAGGGAAAGATGCGGTGTGCACTTTCAGACCTAATGGGCATGAAGTACTTGTAACCTATCAGGATGAAATACAAAATTGGAATTTGGGATTACGGGCCCAATGCTTAGGAGACGAGGTCAGTACTAGAGGTATTTAAGAGGTCCCTTAATAGACACTTAGGTTGAAAGAGAAGAGACACTAACTGAAGGAAAAAGGAAGGAAGAAAGGAAGGGAGTGGGGAAGAGAAAGAAGAAAGAAAGAAAGAAAAAGAAAGAAAGAAAAAGAAAAAGAAAGAAAGAAAGAAAGAAGAAAGAAAGAAAGAAAAAGAAAGAAAGAAAGAAAAAGAAAGAAAGAAAGAAAGAAAAGAAAAGAAAAGAAAAGAAAAGAAAGTAAAGGAAAGCAAAAGGATTCAGGCAGCCAACCTCAGAGGTTGCTTGGGTTGTAGGGAAGAAGAGTGTAAGTGGTTGGGCAGAGACAGCTGGGAAACACCAGGCGGCTCCCTCGTCTTAGAAGCTGAGGACATGGAACCCAAGCAAGGAAAGTGTAGTCAGAGGTGAAGGATGCCATGAGAATAGCAGCGGGAGCCCTGGGATAGGTACACTCTACTTGGGAATTAATGACTCTTTCCTTCCACAGGAGAATAAAAGAATGAAGCAATGCCTGGAAGAAGAACTGAAGTCAAGAAGGGACCTGGAAAAGCTGGTCCGAAGGCTGTTGAAGCAAACAGATGAGTGCATTCGAGCTGAATCCAGTAGCAAGACCTCAGTTCTCCCATAACCACCACTGTGCAGCTGGGCAGAGCGTGCCTTCAGCGTGTCTTGAAATGTCTGGCTCAATGACTTGATTCAGTTCTCACTTCTTTGGCTTTTGCTTTGTGTTTGAGTCTCTATCTCTTTCTGTGTGTGAGTGTGTGTGTGTGTGTGTATGTGTGTGTGTACACAGTGTGTGTGTGTTTACTTGGCTATTTGTTATTTTTTGGTTATGAGTTAGTTGGTTATTTTTGCAACAGGAAAAAGCAGAGAGTGGTGATAATCATGGCCCCAGAGTCTTCTCCATTCAATAAGAAAAGGAAAGCTAGTACAGGCGGATGACTTCACTGTTCTTCAGACAGCCTTCATTTCACAGTGCCTCTGCAATAGCCCTGCCACTGACTCACACTTATTGATCTGGCAGCTATCTCAGAGCAGCTAACCATGGCGTATTAGATACGGACCTGACTTTCCTGTGAATACTTTGCTGTACAGCTACCCTCAGTACTTAATTTACTGAAGGTAAATCTTCCTGAGTTTTGACCAGAGAAGGTGAAAGACTAGCACATTGCCCAATGATCTAGCTTCCCTTCCCTAGTCTGAGACATGCCACCCTTCAATCACATTTTTGTTCTTACTGCCCTATATTGCCTGTAAGATCAAGAAAACTGTAGTAGTTGTATTCCTTCTATGCTGGTGTACATTTTAACTCAGTGGCACAGAAGCTGTGATCACTCACACCAACAGCAAACCCATTGGCAAATTGCATTGGGCAATCCTCCTTTCAGCGGCAGAGTTGACCAGCTCTTCCCAGTGCATGATAGGTCTTCTTCCCTACCTTTCTGCCTCATGTGTAAGTTTTCTATTCCCCAGTGCTTTTAGCCTGGCATACCAAGTGGTGTGTAAAATGGTATGTATGTGTTTGTGCTTACTTTTTTAAAAATGTAGTTAGACTGTGAGTAGTTAACTTTGCATATTCAAACTGTGACTTTTCACCCTACAAAAGAGTCTGTATTGAGAAGATATTGTGCACCATGAGAAGCTGTAATAATCATTGCCCCCTTTTGAACAGGACGCCAAGCATTATTTGCTGACACATGCTGTTGGTCCAGTTTGTATAACCAGAATGAAGGGGCTCCACTAGTAGCTGCGCTGGTTACTAATCTGATTACGTGGAAATGCTTTATGCAAGTTGCTTATTGAAGCAAACCACAGGTGTAAATATCCCAGAAGTTAGAACTGAGAAAGCAGGTTTCGAAGAGAGTCACAGAACAGTGCAGATCCAAATTCAGCACAACTCAAAGTTGACCCAAGGCTCTGGGACACTCCACTTCCCCTGAAGACAGAGGGCATTTAGCTAGATTGGGAAGATCATTGAAAAGAGGCAAAAGGCCAAGAGGCTGATGGAAGTTGTCCTGCAAATACGTTTGATAGGTGCCTGTAAATGTTGGTTTTGCCCATGTTGTTAAGAAACCAAACTTGAAACTTAAGACCTCCAGCTTGCTGAGAGCCCTTTTTCTTTCTGGTACTGAAGGTCTCAGGGTTCCCTAGATTCATGGTACAGAGCTGTTGCCTGCGTGGTGAGCAGTAGAAGCAGCAGCTTGCTTAGACAACAGTGGACTCTTCCTGCAGTACAACTTCAGCCAATCACACTCAGCCATTCTTGGAAGCTCAAGAGTGACGATTTCTAGGAACGGCTGTTGTTCTGTTTTGAAGTACTGAAATTTAGCTATGACATCTTGTATCTAAAAATTAAAAACACCAACAGTAATTACCTAGATGTTCACATCTGCCCTGTCTGTGGTTAGTCAATGGCTTACAATAAATGTGCGTACTATAGCTATAGGAAACACTTTTGTGATTACAAAATACTTTAGTTGATTGCTTACAATATTGAAAGATCTTTATTTTAAAGTAATGTGTACATATGCATGTTCTTGGGACTTGGCCTTCCTGCTGAGAGGCCCTGGGTACTCTGGGTAATGAGGCTTGTGCGCTTATACACTAAACAATAATATAAAGGAAATGAAGCCATGTTAATCCGAGAGCAGTGTCTCATAGTTGTGTTGTTTACAATACTCTACAAATGGATTCCTGTTACTCTGTAATTAAGTTGCCGCCCTTAGAGGCCTTTCAGTTTCTTCTCTGTCATACCCCTTCTTACACAAACCCAAATTTTCTAACTTGTTTTTATTTTCAAAACTTTTAAAATTGACATTTTCAATAAATAAGAATAAACAGTGCTTTATAAAATAAGTCTTTTGTTTCCTTTTTGCTAGCTGGTGTGAAGAAAGATTTTTTTTCATTTTTTGAAAGCTGCATTTTTTATTCAGTTGATCCATAAGTACAGTATGTACTTACAGGGTATGGTGTGATGCTGCAGGACTTTTCCACATTGTGGTGTGATTGTGTCAGGCTAATTATAGTATCCATCACCTCAAATATTCACCATATCTTTGTGGTAAAAACATTTGAAATCTGTTTCAAAACGTACGATAAATTATTATCAGCTACAGTTTCCATGTCGTGACATAGATCTGCCTCACAAATTTAGTCCTCCTGCCTAACTGAAACTTTGGACATCTTGATCAGTAATCCCTATTCCCCCACCCCACCACAGCCTCAGGGAAGCACCATTCTTCTACTTCTGTAAGTCGGGCTTTTTTAGATCACACATAGAAGAGAGTCCATGAAGTATTCGTCTTTCTACTCCTGGCTTGTTTTGCATGGCGTCATGTCCCCAAGGCTCATCCATGCTGTTGCGAATGACAGAATTTCCTTCTTTTTAAAGGCTGAATAGGAGTCCATTGTGTACATGTACCACATTTTCTTTACCTGTTCATCCCTGATGGATGCGTAGGTTAGCTCCATATCTTAACTATTGTGAACAGTTCTGCAGTGAACATGGGAGGGGGATAGCACTTTGACATACAGTTCTTTTGGGAGTATAGACAGGTTATTGGGGCCAGAATTATTAGCTAGCCATCCCCATCAGGTCCCCTAGCTCTATCTTTCCCCCTCAAAGAAACTTCTGTTTCATGGTCTGTATTGCATCTGTAAAGTAGGGCGTGAATTTCATCTGCCCATGAAATAGAGCCTTCTTTGGAAGCAGGTAGTATTTTGAGGGGGATTCATGTCAATGTGCCTTTTGCGCAATTTTTTAAATATTCACCGTATATTTTGATCGTATTCTGGTCTGCCTGTTGGACTGGTGCTCTTTCTACCTCATATTACTCCTCTGCACTTGGAACCTGAAAACTAAGACTTCTACCCAAGCTGTCTCCCCTGGTAAGGTCACCAATGAGCTCTTGATTGACATATCCTGGAACTTGCTTTTCAGTGCCCATCCTGACCTGTCTACAGCATCTGACCTGGCCTTCTGGCAGACATCTTCTTCCCTGGTTTCATCATCCAATATTTAACCTTTCTGACCACCCCCTCAGTCTGAATTGCTGGCGCTGCCTCCTTTGCCTGTCCTTGACACTCTTTCTCTTCCATTCTATAGCACCCTTCTAGCAAACCTTGTCTATGCTTACAACTTCATTTATGAAAATGCAGATGACTACCATGTCAGTATTTTTCCATTATGACCTTTCTCCCAAGCTCTGGACCCATGGATGCAGCTACTTTCTGCACATCTCAGCTTAGATGTCTTCTATCACTTCTCATCCAATGTGTCCAAAAGCTAGATTCCTCATCTGTATTTCCAAATCTGTTTCACCAGGGTTTCCCATGCCAGTAAAAATACCCCAGCCATTTAGTTACCCCAGTCAGAAACATGGGCATTGCTCTTCATCTCATCCTCTTCCTCAAGCCTTTATAAACTTATACATCAGCACTTTGTAAGCTTAGCCAGTGTGTCTTGTCACTTTAACTACTGTACTCCCTTAATTGCTGCTCTTCATACTCATGAGCATTGCCTACTTTGGACATGATCATCTCTCTCTCTTGAACTGATACATTCCCTTGTCTCTGTTCTATTCCCTGTAATACTGGTGTTTGTCCTGCTACAGCATTTACACCATTCCCAAAATGTTTGCACGGTGCTTTTGTAAAAGACTATAAGCTACTCAATGGTAGGGACTGGATCATAGTAATCTCTGTGTACCCCAGATGCATAACACAGAACGTTTACCCTTCAATCAGCGTTAATGAGTGGATGGATGGGTGGGAAAAACTCTTAACTCCCCACTACAAGAAAAGTGAGTCAAGTCTAAGATGTGTTAAAGGTTGCGTATTAGACTCCCAAAAAGGATTACAATCAGAGAGGTACAGAAGGTAGGGGTAGAGATTATAAGCAAAAATTATTGGACTGTAAGTTGGATTACATTAGCAAGAAAAATATTATAAACTGACAAAGACTCAGGAGAACTCCAGGAATGAAGAACAGGGGGGGGAAACTATATATTAAACTGGTTTTCTTAAGAACTGCTCAGTTGCTTACAGGGTTGCTCAGAAGAGTGTGATGTAGAGGTTATGTTTGTGTGCCGGCATCCATGAGAGAGAGAATCAATGATCATAGTCATCTGAAGAAACCATTTTAAATACAAAACTGTTCGGGCTTGCTGAAAATTCTGGCAGCTCCAAGCTGCCAATGATTGTTTTTGACAATGAAATTATATAAAAAAAGACTTTTCTATAGACAGATCTACTCTAAGATTTTATATACATGTGTTTCCATAATTTAACCTGTTCCTTTTGCTTTTCCCTCTCTACCCCTCCCTCCCCTCCCTTCCCCTCCTCTCCCCTCCTCTCCCCTCCTCCACTCTCCATTCCTTTCCCTCCCCTCCCCTCCCCTCCTCTCTTTTTTTGCTTTCACTTTGCTTCGCCCTGGGTGTGGCCCTTCCTTGCTCTACTATTGCATGGGCAAGGCTGCTTGTATACCTGGGCTGCCAGCTATTTTTGGTCTCAGAAATTTTAACCGTTTAAGCTGCTATCCTGGCCCCTTGCACAGAATGCAGACTGCATGCAGGGGGCACGCAGAGACCCACCTTGTTGCTGTCTATATGATGATCTGTATGAGAGAGCAGACTCTACTGAGACTTCTGCGCATCTCATCAAATCATCATCTACCCTGAAGAATATTCTTATCACACTCATTCTACAGATGAGGACTCTGTGGCCCAGAGGAAGTGAAATGACTTACCTACAGTTAAAGCAGTTAGTAACAAGCAGAGCCTAAGTTAAGTCCGTATCTGCCTGGCTCCAGTCTTAGTCACCATATTACAATGAGAATTTGGTGGTTGTTTTTTTTTTAATAGGGATGCAGTTTACAAAGAAAAAAATAACAAAAATTATACTTAGTTCCATGCTTCTGTGCCTCGAGTGCTTCAGACTTTTCAAAGCTTTTGCAGCACAGCTCCCAACACAAAGGTATCAGACCCTGTAAAAATAGTTGACTACGGCACAAAACGTCTTGTGTTTACCCTGTGTTGTTTCCCTTTAAATCAGATGCCCCTGTATGGACAGCTTGCTAAAGTAGACCATTTGTATTTCATAGTCACTGGCTTCCTATCAAGTAACAAAGGCAATAATATTTTATACTTTGTTCACTTTGTGTTTATCTAGAAATAAAAATTATGGGTATTTCCAACATTCTTGCCCCAGCTTTAGAGGGAATGCAGAAATAACCTGTTTATAAAAACAGAGCTAAGTTAGATAGTTTATGATCACAGTATTACAGGTAGATCAAAAATGTGCCCAAGTCCTTATTGGAACAATTTAGAAAGTGTTCAACTGAAATTTGGAGCAAATATCACATGCTATTTTGCAAACTATCATGAAAATTATTATAAAAATGTATTATTTATTTTTATCTACAGTATAATTCTCAGTTGTTCTGTACTCCATGGAGACATGTTTATAATTTAGATATTTTTTTGACCTAATGAAGGTCTTTATACTATTTCAAAAATTTATTTCAACTAGTACCCAAATTTCATGGATTGTTGAGTTACACAAAGCTGCGTCCATTCATTTATTCCTTCGCGCAACAAACAAAGGCCCAGTTCTCTGCCAGTCCCCGTGGTAGACACAGAAGTTACCATGGTGATCAGGTCTTGGTCCTCACGAAGCTCAGAGCACAGGAGGGAAAAGCTCAACCACAATAAGTGCCATGAAACACTTGCTAAGTGCAGTGTGCTGTGGGGGAGGGGAATGGAGCTCACAAGCAAACAGCATGGCAGGGTCCTAAGGCAGCAAAGGTTTTGTAACCTTAGAAGTTACAGCTCATGTGACAGGCACGGGCAGGGAAAGCATACGTTCATCATTTTGGTCTTTATTCTAAGGTCAGTAAGAAGCAGGGTGTGGTGAAATCAGAACAGTGCTTAACAATTCACAGTGGCTGTGCCTAGAGAATGCATGGGTGTAAACAAGAGTGGAGGCAGGGAGGCTGGAGGCTGCACTTCTGTTCCAGAAGGGACAGGATAGAAGCCTGGGCTAGGACAGCGGCAGTAGAGATAGGAAGAAGAGGATTCAGAGCTGTGTAAGAAGTAGGATTGGTGAGTACAGGCAGGTGGCATTGGGTATGGAGGGGCTGGTGAAGACAGTGGGTCTGTGGGCCTGAGTTCACCATTTAGAAACACAGGGCAATTCTAAGGAACAGGTAAAAGTTAGAAGTGTTATATCAGTCGCATAAAAGCAGTAATTAAAACCACAAGCCCAGGGGTGACTGTCTGCAGGAAGCGTGCAGAACAGAAAGAGAAGAGGGTGAAGGATGAGACCTTGAGACCCTGCGAAGGGCAAGGTTGCTAGGCAGCGGTCTGAGAGGCTAAAACCAGTTAGCTATGTGAGGCTGATGCTTCACGCAAAGGGCTGGGCTGGAGCTACAGGAGGTGGCATGTAGAGAGCGTCAGAAAGTACTGGAGAAGAAGAGGTAGCCCAGAAAAGGTAGAGGGTTTCTGTATCAATAGCATTACTTCTGATAACAGATATTATTGGCAGTGTGGTTACTAGAGGTAGAAAGAATCTGCAAAAAAAATGATTCCCAAGGAAGGAGAGGGCAAGGTGAAATGCAGAGGCAATTTTTGAATCGAAAGAGGACATGAATATATGAAGAGTATTTTCACAATCAGCCAAGTAGTCATGGATTCATTTCCGAGGAATCCTACCAAAGGGATGATGCCGCTCACTGCCTCGCTGTCTCATGCGGACATATTGCAGCAGTGTAGCACTCAGCTAGTGTAAAGGGGGAAAGTCACTGGCTGCAAGTCATCTTTCTCTCTGTCAGTTTGGCCAAGTCCACTCCTCAGCTAGGTGCAGGACCCTGGCCTTCCTAAGGAGGGCCTTTGCCTGGACAAACATCATGGCCAGTGTCTCCTCAGCTGCCACAGCTGCTACCCCCATGTCCCTCAAGCCTCCTCTACAGAGGTTGACAGGGCGAACCCGAAAAGCAATGTGGAGAAGTCTCTAGTGAGTCCCCAAATCAACAAGTGTCACTCCTGCTCATACCAAAATTCTCTCGCCGGAGAAAGTGCACAGCATGCAAATTTGTCTGGCACGCTTTCAGCCGCATGGCAGGTGTTTGCTGCAAGGTCTTCAGAGTCCAGAAGGGGCTGCAGGAGCCACAGGACTGAGGAGCAGGGCTGGTGGCCCCAAGTGGATGCCGCCCCCGCTATTTCTCTTTCTTATTTCTATAGTCATTTTGTTTGGATGACCACGTGGTGTTGTCTTAAGCAGAGCACTATGCCAGTAAAAATGAAGACTCCACACTGAGTTTCTTACATAAATAATTCCTCAATTGGCGGTGACAGGAAATGACTCAGTTGGCTTCAGTGGGCAACGAAGGCCAATACTTACCCTCAGGGTATCCTAGCTCCATTTCCTCTCTCCAAAATGCAGCCACCTAGATAGCTGTTCAAAAGACACGTTACCGCTTATTTAAGGCCTTCCTTCAGCCTCATTTGGCTGTGATTAATTTTAAAAAGTCAACCTCTTGCAACCTTTTTAGAGCAAGTTGGCAATGAAGACTCAGATTGCTTTTCACTGAACAGGCTCCCGTGTCATCCATCAAAGGCCGTAACTGACTAACAGAGAGTGCTGTCACCGAGATACTCTGTTATGTACCAAGCTTGAGAATTCAGCTTATGAAAAGAGCACAAAAGTTGGCCAACTCCCCCCAACTACTTCCTCTTTCCCCAAACAGGCTGAGGACTGTAGGTTCCAAACAACAACAGCAATGTTAAAGGATCTTTATTACTCAAAAATAAATAACGAGAAGAACACAGGTTCACTCTGGAAACAATGGAGGCCACAGGAAGATACAGTAGATTTCCTTTAAATACAGTCGTTTGATGAGGAGGAGGGGCAAGTTCGGAGCTGCTCTCCCCTCATCTACAGTGCTCAGAAGTAAGGGACTGAGGAGAAATAAGGTAACTGAGTCACAACAGCCTGACTGGTGTGTGTGCGTGTGTGTGTGTGCGTGTGTGCACGTGTGTGTGTGTGTGTGTGTGTGTGTGTGAGAGAGAGAGAGAGAGAGAGAGAGAAAGAGAGAGAGAGAAATTAGGAGAGTAAGACTGAGAAGGTAGGGGAGAGACAGAGACAGACAGAAAGATACAGAGAGACAGACAGACAGACAGACAGAGACAGAGAGAATAAGTGTTAGGCGATGGTGGGCACAGGGTGCTCAGTTCTCCACACCGACAGACTTTCTAGCACCTGGCCTCTTCCATCAGAGCTACAGGGTCAGCCAGAATTGACTGTGAGCTGAGGCTCCCCATTCTTGCTTTTGCATCTTCACTGGTAAATCAAATACATTATCCACTGAGAGACACTGCACATAAAGAAACAAAACTGAACTTGACTAATTATCTGCTGTTTACTCAGGATTCTGTCTGTGCATACTGGCCTTGTCTTCTTATAGGACTCTCCAGATGTCTGCATCAGTGGGGTTACTGCTTCAGAATACAAGCTCCTATGGAGCAGGATCTGTTAGGGTCCGCCCACCCTGCAATTCACTTATTACAGCCCTACATGCCTTGGGGTGTATAATAAATAGTTCTCCACAAGGAGGATCCTAGGGTTATAAATAGGCAGTTCCAGGGGTGGTCTCAACTGCTTTGCTGTGTTGGGAAGACTGCCAGCGCCAGCTCAGCCGCAGCCTGGGAGCGTGCACGTTCAGAGTTTGAGCAAGCCGAAAGACGTGAAGCCAGTCCCATGGATCACTTGGCTTGGATCAGTCACATTGACAAACACCGAAGCACCTGGTTGCAATTCAAATACTCCTCCCAAATGAATGGACTGTTGCCCGCAAGCTTTGGAGGAACTGTGGGCATTTGCCGCCCTCAATAAGATTCTCTCAGAGCCACTTGTGGACTTCAGACAGAGGCTGGTTATAAATGGAGATCGGCTCAGAGGTTCCCGATTAGTACAGAAGGTGACTTGGGTGTAGATGTAATAGAATCCTTGTCTTTTAATGGTCAGCTGCTTCCCATTTTCGAGGGTTACCAAGTTGCTGCTCATGGTATAATATCCTTTTTCAGCCCACTGTAGAACTGCAAAAAGAGGGGGATATTCATGGTGAGAGGGAAGCAGAGCTTGGTTCACATTCCAACAAGAAATAGATTTTAAGTTTGGATGCTGGCATTGTGTAGGAACGGACTCTCAAGGCTCTTCCCAGCCTTCAGAGACATGGGTTACAAGTTCGCCTGGGCTTTCGAGTCAGATAAAGCCAGGTTCCAGTCTCGGTTTCCCTCAGCTCCTCATTGGCAATGTGGGCTAATACTAGCAAGGATGTAGCCTGAATAATTTGGTATGCATAATTTATGATGTGGAATTTTGAAATCATTTGCACCTTCTCAAATTCAGAGGTAAATTGGCTAGATCCTCCCTAATAGTAACATGAATACCTTGCTTGGTTGAAGTTTTCTTTTGAGACAGGGCCTGACTGTGTAGTCCAGGCTGACCTTGAACTCACTGTGTAGCACAGGCTGGCCTCAAACTCACTGTGATCCTCTTGCCTCAGTCTCCTGAGTGCTGGAATTACAGTTGTGTGCCACCATGCCCAGCTCACTTGCCTTGAGTTTTATAAAGCCAAACTTTTTGGTCTACCCAGCTCAGCCTCAGCTCAGAGAGAAGATCCCACTTCTTCCTACATGATCATGCTGTGGAGATCTCAGTAGCCTCCCACAGCAAGGACTAAAATTAGGCAAGAACACATGAAAATAAATTGTGTGTGCATTTCACTGTGTTTTCATCTCCCATTGTAGTGGGCGCCACCAACTTGAAAGTACCTGTATTCTTGTGGCTAAGCCAGAGTACTCATCAATGGTGTGCCATTTTTCTCGGCTGAGACGTTGAGTGGGTTCAAAGTAGTGTGTGCATGCGATTTCAAATCTCAGCTCCCACAGAGTGCTAGATTGGCTGACAAGGTTGGGGGTTGGGGAGAAGGGAAAGTACTGATGCATTTGGCTCTTTCACCTTTAAAATTTCCTATGTAGTGGTCTTAGGTCTGCCAGGGCATTAGATCCTACCTGTTTGTAGCAGTGTAATCAGATAGGAAGGAGAGATTTGGGCTTGAGTGGAGGAGGAATGTTACTGTCTCCCCATCTGTTCTCCTGCAGACCTCCTGTGATACAGATTATATGATGCTGTAGGACCACTGCCGATCATAAGCCTTCCGGGAGAGTCTGAACTCTGCAAATTATATCTAAGAGCAATGATTTAGGTAGGGGTAGTCAAAGACCAGTGGTGAGGTGATTCTAGGTTTCTCTGCCACTGTCATCAAATTCAAAAGAGAAGGTGTCTAGATGGTCATGGTGGTGCACACCTGTAATCGCAACACTCTGAAAGGCTGAGATAAGAGGACCCCAAGTTTAAGACCAGCTTGGGTAATTTACTGACTTACTGAGACCCTATCTGAAAGTAAAGAATAATAGAAGGACTGGAGATATGGAACAATATGAAGGTCCTGGGTTTAATCCCAATAGGGAGAGAGAGAGATTCCCGGGCATGATACTGTAGTTATGATGTTCTCCTCTAGGTGCATCTTCTGAGAAAGGTGTGTATGGCAGAATTCTTAGATGTTGTAGGAATAACTGGCCTTCATGAGGGGCTTGATGTCACTCTTTTGGCATCTAAACCACAGTAAAGTATGCTAAGTAGTGCCCCTTCACATTGGTACAGCATAACTTGGCAGAATAACATTTGCTGATTTGATACTGAAAGCATAACTGGGATAGCATATACCATATATTTGTATAACATAACTTGGCAGAATAACTTTCTTCCATATTCGCTGATTTGATACTGAAAGTAGACGAGGCACGAAACTGCTGCATAGTTACAGCGACTTGCCTAACATCACTAAGTAGTTGATCGTCACGGCTCTTGAATCCCAGTGTTCTACAACTCCCCACTTGGCACTCTTCACACCAAGCTCCATGACATAGCCATGAATTTTATACCCACTGAGAAACCCATACCACCTCAGAGATGAAGCCATGTCTTCTCTTCTTTGTTTCTGCCTCTCTCTGTTGCATAGATGTCACACACACACGCACACACTCACACACACACACACACACACACACACACACACACGCAGCGTTTAGAGGCTCCATTCTGGAGCACATCGCTGAATTTTTCAAAGACTGCTCTGTTGCTCTTGCCTTTATATAGATGGGGGATTTTATGCTAGTGTACATGTTTCCATCCATTTATCAGATGCGACACATTCTCCAGCACCAACTACCACAAGGTACAGATTTGGGAAAAAAAACTCTAAGAGCTACAATGATAGCAGAATGTATATGGAAATAAAATCATTCAGAGTTGAAAAGATCACACACTATGTCGTATGTTGTTACTTCACTGGAAAATCTAACGTCTTGGCATCTATTGATCTTTACAGAATGATTTTACCTTTAATTTCCCTGAGGTTGGCCCCAGCGAGACTGGGGTTAATCATACAGGGTTGATAGGTGACAGAAAAGACCCCCTGAGGCCCATTTACACACAGTGAAGGGGGGGGCTAAAAGGAAGGGTGCCCCCAGCCAGGGGGTCACTACCTGCCATTTCTCCTATGCTGTCAGAATAATGGTCTCTCCACCTAGGAATTCATCATTTAGAATCAGCCATTGAGCAAGAATGTAATGAGAACACTGGGATTTCTTCCCACCTCCCTCTAACCCTCAAAGTCCCATCTGCGCATTGGAGCTCACTTTGAAGACAAAGGACAGCATTTGAAGGGTATATGGGCAGCTTTGGAAATTGGGCCCCTGAGGAAGACAGAAGCCTAATCATTATGCTGTGCTGTTTCCATGTCTCAGCCTTCCCCCTCCGTGGTTGATCCTCCGATGTTATGGGACTTACCAGATGCTGTTTTATCACCGGTTTGACTTATGACATGTGCTGCAATTTGAGGATCTTGATCACCTTAAATGAAACCAAAAGCAAACTGTCAGGCGAAGGCAATACAAAGCTACTCACAGAACAATTTGGTCCAGGTCTACAGCTGTGTAATAGACTCTCTTAAGATAGGTTATGTGAAAGAAAGGATGAAATGATCTGAAATCCTTTGCACTGAAGGAAAAGCTGGTTTCTTAATATCTGAAATCACTGAATTGGATGTTTCTTATTGATCACCCCTTCTCCTAATAGTTTTTCAATACTTCACATAGATTGACATAGGCTAAAAATACCTGTCTTCATTAGACCTACCTTGAATCTTGCTTTTAGGAATAACTCTCACCTATTGGGAAACTTAGTGAGTCCTAGCATTTATCTGTACATTTAGTAAGGTGCTTATCGTGCCTGATTAGGTCAAGCAACTGGCCAAACTGTTGTGTCTATTTCTCATGTAAAAACTTACTGCTTGGGGCTGGGGATTTAGCTCAGCGACAAAGCGCCTGCCTGGCAAGTGCAAGGTCGTGAGTTCGGTTCCTGGTACCGGAGAAAAACCAAAAAACTTACTGCTTAACTGAAGTGATGATCTCCTAAGTGTAGAGATTGTGTGGAAGCTATCTTTCTTTCTCTCTTTTTTCTTTCTTTTCTTTCTTTCTTTTCTTTCTTTTCTTTCTTTCTTTCTTTCTTTCTTTCTTTCTTTCTTTCTTTCTTTCTTTCTTTCTTTCTTTCTTTCTTCCTTTCTGTTATGAGACCAGTGCTGGGCCCTTGGTAGGTGCAGTATAAGTGAATCCAACTGCATGACTTGATCACCAGTTTGACTGAGTTTGTGATTTTCCTGAAGATTGCTAGGCAGCATCCACAGGATATGTTTCCTCAAATTTTACTGTCCTTAACAGACAACATGGTACCTCTCACATGTTTTGCAGTCATTCTGAGGATGAAAATTTCATGGGAATCAGATGACCATTTAGCATCTGAAGCAATGTTTACAGTGAGTTCTGAGCCTCTCTTTGTCTCAGAAAATAGTATCTATGTATTTGTTTGGATTCATTTTATTGTGTGCATCAGATTTGCACAAGCCATGGCATTACATTTACCATCTTTGTGATATAATAGTCTCTTTGACACTCTTCCTTTCCTTCCTTGATTGTTCAAGTTATTTCCAGTATTACCGCACTGGTTTCGGGTGTTATATTACAAAGGGAACAGGGAAAAGTTGTTGTGTCTGGAAAATGAGGTAACTGGGAAGAGAAAAGGCCTGGAAATGGACATGAGAGGAATGGTGGAAGGCCCTGGGCATGTTTATCCTGGAGAAGAAAAGCCTCAATCAAAGCTCAGTGGTCATGATTGCTGCTTTTAGTGTCTGCATAGCTGCTGCATAAGAGAGGAACTGTAATTTGATTAGTATGACCTCAAAAGCAGATATGTGTCCAGGGAACAGAGATTACAGGAACAAAATTTGACTCAAGAGAAGGACAGATGTAATCTTGAATAATATATTAATCTGACTATAATTATTAGAGCTATTCAGAGACATGCAAGGCTGTCTGATGAGGTAGAAGGTACCTTACCCCTAAACATACTTGACAGGAGGCCAGATGGTCAGTGCTGTTTTAAAGGAGGTTTATGTTCTGAGGGTTGTGCTGGATTTGAGAACCACCAAAGTCCCTCTTTAACCCTAAGATGTTTGGGATGCTCTGATTTAAGAATAAAGCAAGGACTAGAATGTTGTCACACTGTCACTCCTTCATCCCAGAGGCTTTCCTGGTCACTGTCTCCCATGAAACTCTATTATCATTGAGCAGTGAATGTCATTTTGACAAAATGATGACTTTCCTGCCATCTCATCCTCTGAAGATGGTACCAGATGGTATGGGTGTTTGGATTAAGGTATCCCGAATATAGTGGAATTTCTTTGTACTTAGTATCCTCAGCATTAATGGAACATAGCCTTACCTGTAAATACTAACAACCAAAGTCTTTCCAAATCACAGGGACCAGAGCAGGTATCAAGTTAACACTTTTTTTTCTGTTTTATTTCCAGGGTTAAAAGTTCCCTAATTGAACACTGGTTCAATGTGATCAGGCTAAAGCTTCCTTTTAGTATATAAACATTCATAGAAATTGATGAATAGCAACCTACCTTTTTGCCTTTCATAGCTGATTTCTTTCTTCTCTTCTTTGTTTAACATTATATCCTAAAAGAAGAATTGTTGTAAGAGGTCATTTTGACAGGAGCTCTGTGATGGGGTCTTAGCAGTATCACTCATTTGGTATTGGTCATTACTGTTGTCTCTTCCTGGTGAGGATTATCATATAGATTAAGATGCTGTCATTAATTCTATCATACCAATTGGGAATTGATGGCTCTGATAGATGAGCTGACAGCCCAGAAAGCCCAGGGGAGAATCTGGAACAAAATCCAAGCCTTATTATCTCCATTCCAATGCTCTCTCCAGACCAGAGGCAGTGATACTGACCCTTCCTATGACACCAACCCCCCTGGTTTTGACAGATATTGACAAATAATGCTCAATGAAGATATGATTTTACCCTGAGAACTGGTATATTGAATATTATTAAACATAAAGCATGATGCGTATCTATTATAATAAAATTGGTCTGAAATCTCATAGGAAAAGGTCATAGTATGTTTGACCTTTGAAAAGAAATCCAAGAATATAAAATGGCCCTCACATATTTTTGTGATCCTTTCAATGGGCTTGAGAGATTCTTTTGCTGATGATTATCCTATATGGCTTGTATTTATTTAAAATAAGTAGCATTTAGGAAACACAGGTCATCTCACAATGCTGTTGATGTTCAAAGGCAAATGCAACACAACTAGAAAGATTTCTTTTCCCTTAAAAACTGCAAGAATGCTGGAGGTACTTGAAGAAGCTAACAGAGACTTGCATCAGCATCGGTTGGATGATGAGAAAGACTATCACTGCCATTTTAGAGAGACTGAACAAAAGACCTGGAGGGCTTAATTGGCCAGTATTAGGTCACCCAAAGGGTCTGAAACTTAAACCAAGAGATCCTGTGACCTGGCTCAACTTGTTTCACACGCTATATCCTGAACACAAGGGGGAAGACAGTAGTATTTTCACATCTTCTGAAAATCAAAAGTCTTGTCTTCTTATCTGTTCTTGGAATTAATTGTCTACAAGGCCCTTCCTTTGTTTTCCTCTTCTAAAAGGAATTTTCTGTTGTTACTGTTGACTCTTTAGCTGCAGGCTCAGCTCAGTTGCCAGCTGTGGGGGTGTAAGTCACAGAGCCCCAAGGGGAACCTGAGCCTTGAAACGCTCATGGGCCCCAGAGCCTCAACTTTCCATTCGAGCTGAAGTGGGGCACTATGAAAACGCGGCGACAGGAAAATGTTTGTGAGATAACAAGTAAACAAATGACTGTTTAGTGTCTTTTCAAAAACTAGAGTGTGATGATTGAGGCTGAGATACTTTTAGACTACGTGGTTGCATTGGTGTCAGGGCCTGGCCGAGATGAAAATGTGAAGTCAGCAAAGTTTGTCTTTTATACCCCCAGCTTTGCCATTTGTGAACTCTTCCTCAGCGACACTCCCTGGAACCTTTTTTTTTTTTTCTTGCTTAATTCTTTACTGCAATCGAAAGATTTTTCAGAATTGAATCTCCGTAAATCTTTAATTAGTTATTGCTTTCTTAGTGAGAACTCTATGTGGCAAGTATGGACAGATGGCCCTTTTACTTTTACCCTATCAAAGGCATCTCAGGCAATTGTGGGAAGATGATCACAGTGCTGACTGTTCTATCAGGGAGTGAGGTGGGTTGTAAGTTTTGATGTGAAATCGTGCTACTTTAAATGATGCCTCCACTTACCCTAACATGAGCTCTGAAGCTTCCATGAGCTTCCATCCTCCCCCTACTTCCAAGTTACAGTGCGGTGCTTCTTGCCTTGGGAGATAATACATTCCCTGTCACTAGAACTCTTCAGATAAAGACTGGGTGACCACTCGGTGGGGATGATGGAGTGAAGACTCAAGCTCTGAAAGCTGAGAATTGGCTCTGATGATTTCTGAGACCTTGTCAAGCCCTGTGACTTGTGGGTCTGAAATGTAAACTTGAGGTTACTCTGGACTAGCCAGATTGCGGCCCTGAAAGAAAGTCTTTTAACATTCGCTAAGAAAATACAAATCCAATCTGGGATTGTACAACATTGGCCTGCTGAATTAAAAAAAAGTTGAAAATATTGTTTCAGAGTAAAAATTTGGGGGAATGGGCACTGAAAAGTCTTGGGGGGCAGAGAATTGGGTAGCGAGAGGACTTTGAGTAACCATTAAGTAAGCATTGCGCACACCCTCGGGACAGATTGCATTGACAGGGTTCCAGCCTGCTGCTGCAGAGACAAGGAACGTCATCGGGCAAAGGGCAGGAGGGGATCGCTGAAGCCCTGGTTGACATGCCTTGAAAGGCCTGCTTTATTAGAACATTAAACTCGGACCTATCCCTTTTAAATATAAGTGTAAGCAGGGAGGCCAAATCAAATATTTTCTTTTCTCCTAACCTGGGTAGATGATTTTGGGAGCTTTACACTTCTCACCTGAAATAAGCACACGAGGAATTGTCAGGTCAACTGTAAAATTCTCTATGAGAATGCGAGGAAAGGAGAAAACCAACAAGCCACTCACTGCCATTTGAGGGAACTGAAGGCTGATCAGATAACTGCAGGATGTCAGAACTGGCAGTGTCCATACAGATAATTTCACCCCTCTCGTGTTACACCCCAGAGAACTGAGTCCTTTGCCTAAAGTCAAGCAACCAAGCATATCCAATATGCTACTTGGATCACTAACTTTTGTTTTGAACCTGGCTTTATTCACGTTCAAATTTGAAACACCTCCAAATACTTTATATTAGTGACCGGAATCCTCCTGAACAGGAAAAACCCAAATTATTTCTAAAATGGGCCAGTTTTACAGGTAAAGGACTAGAAATTTCAACTAAAACCTAGATGAGCATAAAGAACCTGAAAGCCAGTGGCAGATTTGAGCCATATTCTAGTCCCCAAAGGTAACTCAGGAATAAGCTGTCAGAGTCTTTAGTACTAGATTACGTTACATATTAGTTACAGTACAGAAAGAAGGAATAAGTTCAAACAAAGACCTTAAGCCAGTTACTCTCTTATTCAGTTTACCCATAACTGCATATGTGAATGAATTCCTGTTGGTTTTATTCAGATACCCACCCACCTGACATAGAGCTGCCTTCAACGTGGAGTTCTTAGACATGAACTCTAAGTGAGCTGAGGGTCAAAGGGATTTGAATCAGCGCACTAGGAGGGAAATGGGAAATGAGACTACTTGGTGTTCTCTCTCTCTACTTGATGTTCTCAAAAAATTCTTGCTTTAGGGACCCATCATAGGCCTCATAATTGATTACCGGCTGGCTCAGCTGATTGGTTAGAAGATTTCAAACTTCTGTCTCTGGTCATTACTGACTCCAGAGTGGACTGGCTGCACGCGCAGGCGCTGTTAAGTGTGGTGTGCTTTGGGCAGCACTGAGAATGCTCATTGATCATTCCCTGTACATCTTTCCCACAACAAAAGGGAAAGATCTCAGTTTCTCAGCACCTGAATTTCCATCATCGGCTGAGCACTAGAGACTGTATCTGACTTCAGAAGTTCCTACCACTCCCCGGACAGGCAATACCTTTGCTTGGGGTCTGCCAACATGACAATGGCCAGGGGTTATTGCTTCCCTGGGAAATGGGGGTTAGACCTTGGCTCCGCACTGGGAAAACATCAAGGTTTGGGTGAGGAAATAGAGAAGTGGAAAAAACCAAACTTTATAATTCTGCTCAATGGCGGCTACATATGTGAGCTCATGAGTGTATAAGCATATGCTCATGAAAATGTGATTTTCCACCAGAGACAGCCTTTTGATCCTATCAAGCAGGAATACATACATTTCTAACTTTCCTTTCCCACAGGACTTTAGCTTTATGTTTTTTTGATACACACATATCCATACCAGGTGTGTATATATGTGTATATATATGTATACATATCTACATGTGTGTATAGTAAATTTTGAAGCTTTTACATTGTTGGATTTCAGTTTCCTAACCTAACAAATGTGGTAAAACTTTTCAGTGACTTCTACCAATAACTGAGTGCCTTACCTTGACAAAGCCTTCAAACTGGCTTCTAATTTTCTCACAGTTCAGCAAGGATAAAGACTCTTCGCCTTTGTTGCATCTCTGTATTGTTTTCATGAATACAAAATCATCGTGAAGATTCCTTTCATCTTCTATCTGTTTTGAAATAACAAGGATATGAGAAATGCCATTGTGAAGAAGAATGCGGCTAATGATGTCTGCCTCCACATTCACTTCCATGGCACCAATAAGAAAAGGACTTAGAGAACATAAATGGAAAATATAATGTTATTATACTGCATTATTGCTACTTAGTATTTGCCATTTTAAAAAGCTACAAAAGCTAGCAATGGAGACATCATATTATCTGAAACTCTAGGTAGAAATCACAGCTATTCTAATGAACCTCCATCAAACAGCGTATATATTTTTAATGTATCATAGTGGCAATATTCTATAATTGCCACATTTCTCATCAGTCTATAAAACAGTGTTCTGCTGAACTAATTTGCACACTTCATTTTAGTGTACATGATGCAGTGCTTTAGAAAGAAGTTCATTTGCAATGTGCGTTCATTAACTCAAATTCTCTCTCTGTCCCTTCTTAACTTTCATATTTGTGGAAGACATTTGTGTTTTTAAAGAAGTAATCTTTCACGCCCAAAGTTAATGAGGTATTTTATTTTCCAATGTCTTCATAATTAAATGTATAGAATTCACTTGTTTCATCCCCTGATCCTATGCCATTTTCTTATGAGTAGATTTTTAAGATTCAAAACAAAATCACATTTGCTGATGACTTTTGCTGTCATCAAGGACACACCTCAGCGCTATGGTATAATTGAGTCTGCCAGGCCATATTCCCCCTTTGGAGGTGAGGCATATATCCAGACATTTAATTAGCAGAGTCCACCACAGCAAAGAAACAAGCATCCAGACCTAGAACCCGCCTCTTTTTCTTAGGAGTGTCCTAGTGGGTCACCTCCACACACGCTACCTTGCCTTATATTGACAGAAAGTTTCGTGACCATAATTCAAGGTCTGCATGCCAAGAGAGGACCACTAAAGATTCCTGAGAAAACACAGTCATCCATATGCTGCTGAGCTATAGATCCTGTGTCCAGACTTTTAGGAACAGCCAGACAATTGATCAGTTTTCCCTTATTTATCTATGATTTGCGTTTTGCCAACATATCCAATAATGCCCTTCGGTGGAAGAGGTCAAATACATAGAAAAAACATAAATCCTGGCATTATTTTCTCCTAAGAAGGCAAAAACAACCCACTAAGTTACTCTTCTCTTTTATTCTTGTAAGTCCAACCATTTAACAATGTAAAAGTACCTTAGGTGGGCATTGAGTATCTTCTAACTATGATGGGCACATGAAGAATTGTGCAGAGAGCACTGTTTTTACTAAAAATTCTGCAAATTTTGGAGACTTATCTATGCGTTAATCTGAAGTGCTATGAAATTTCAGGCCAAATTGGTGCACTCTTTCCTGAAAATTTAAAAGAAAACATTGTCTCCACCTGAAAAAAATTGTTGAACTTTTAAAGTAAAACTTTAGGGAATAATGCCGCTTACTTTGTGCGAGGCACTATCCTAAGCTCTGTACACTAGGCTAGAATCACTTAATCTCTGAGATGAGTGCTGTTACTGTTCTCTTTTCTTAGGCATGGAAACTAAGGCATTAAAAAATGTGAAATAACTTGCCTGAGATCACAGAGCTGGTAGGGTCAGAGCCAAGATTTGAAGCTAAGCCATGTGACGCTACATCCCAAGATCTTAACCAGGGCAAGAATATGAGAATTAACTGACCAGACAGCAAATATGCCACAACACCATTAATGCGCTTGAGTTTCTATCATCCTCCATCATTTGAGCGGAATTAAAATCAATGGACCCACAAATTAGACTCTCAATTTAGTTAACAAATGGTTGTAGTTCATCTTACCTTGTCTAACCTTCTATGAAGATATACAGCAAAAAATGCCGATCCAATCATTTGGGTGATTAGAAAAACAGTAAGTAAATACATAAAAATTTTCATGCTGGCAGGCAGTCCAGTGGCCACAGATCGGGGAGAAGGTTGGCTGTATGTTTCAATCATGCTGGGTTAAAGCTGAAATGGTATCTTCTGACCAAGAAGGTGGCAGAGGCAGCGTGAGAAGACTGTCAAATTGGCCACCTTACTCAGGATTAGTTAAGAGCGCACAATCGTCGCAGCCCACACTTCCTGGAAAATGTGCTTCGTAGTCTTCTCTCCCAGCAAAAAAGTTACGTAAAGGTTTTTTTTTTTTATACCCATATCATTCACTTCCAGGCTTTCCCTTTTGTTAGTAAAGAAGAAACAAGTTTCTTCTTCCATACATTCATTCTTGCCTTGAAATGTCATAGACTTCTTAACAGACAATGGCAGTATTTTCCTATCACTGTCTAACGTCCTGGGTTCACCAGTTTCAAGGAAAGTGACAAATTAATCCACCAGCAATAGACTTATTTCGATTTCAGTCTTACTAATATAAAGCAGGAACCTGGCATAAAGGGAAAGAAACAAATGGCAAACAAAAGTCTGGATTGATTTTATGACTGGTTTGCACTAGCTAATTACTTCTCAAGAGTTTACTTATTTAATCGTGGAGTTCAACAAAATCCTGGTAGCTTTGCAACTCAACACCACGTGGCATAAAGCAAAAAAGAGTGCTAACAATTATTAAGTATAATTAAGCTGGAAATATAATGCAAGAAAAGTCTTTACTCAAAGGCAGAGCTAAGTAGATTCTTCAGGGGAATCAGCCAAAACTGTGGGGTTGAAGTTAAATTAAAAGTATTACCTCAGTGCTGCCATGTTGCCCGTCTACTCTGTCCCAATCTATGAATTAACACTACTGCTGATGTAATAGTTTGGGATAAGGAAAATAGGCTGCAACTGTGGGCTTTGTATTCTATTCTTTGCCCTGCTAATAAATTGCTATGGATCGTGGGCAATATCCTTTACCTCTTAGACCTCAGTTTCCTCATACTCAAAGTGGTACCTGCCTTGTCTCTTCCATAGTTTATTACGAAGATAGAATAAAGATGTGCATGACACAGATTTGCAGGTTAAGCAACAGACAATTCTCATACCTAGTTTTTCAGAATTTGTTTAGCCTGAGACGTGAACTTTCCAAATAATTGCCAACTCTCTATATACTAGTAAAAATCAAATGGATAATGACAATATCAAAAGCACCTTGACTTGTGACAATGAATTGAATCACTGAGGTGTACAGGATGACATATTGCTGAATGGCTATTGTGTCATCTTATCAGATTATCACCTGGCTTTAAACCAAACACCCTTGTGGAAATCCCTACCCCACATTCCAGTCTCATCTAGAACAGTGAAAAGATTGCTTTGGTGATCCCTATAAAATTATTTTGAGAGACAAATAGGAAATGTAAACGCTGCTCTGACAGGCATGCTGTCTGTGTAGTTAGCACCTGCTTTCTTCTCCTCCCACGCCCTAGCATCCTGTCCTGGGCTCAGATCTGTGTAGCTCTTCACTACATCTGCCAAGTAGGTGGCTTCAGTGCACGTGATGAGCTTTGATCAGTCAAGTCAGAGGCCTCAGTTCTTAGACAAGTGACCTTAGTTCTGTTGAAGGAAAATTTTCATGACAACCAAAATGGGCTCAAGGCCTTCTCTGAGGTCAGTTTTATATAGATACAGAGCGCAAGAGCTGCAAAGGCCCCGAGAAGAAGAGCCTTGCCCAGCCTCAAGGGAGAAGATGCTGAAGGGACCACAGAGATGCAGACAACAGCAAGATTTGTTCATGTGACCAACCTCAAGAAAACGCTTGTCCAACCTCAATGGCTTCCCTATGTGATCTCTAGGTTCTTGCAATCTGACTTCTCTCCACAATATACTCTTAACACTGCTCCTACCATTATTAGCTCAGTAATAGTTTTTTTTGAAAGGGGAATTGGACTCAGGACCTTGCATTTGCCAGTCAGATACTTTGCCTCTGAGCCATGTCCTCAGCCTTCAGTAACACTTTTGGCAGATACTTTTTAGAATTCATTTTTAGTGACCTCTCTACCATTCTATTGATTTGTTCTGTTGTGATGACAGAACAGATATTCTCACCACCCTTGAATTCTGTGTCACCACAATCCTTTTCCTGTTTTGTTTCCCAGCTTTATTGACATATGATTGACAAACACAAATTGTGTCTATTTAAGCTGTACAATGAGATGATATAGGCACAGATTGCAAAATAATTAGACTTAATTTTACCAGTATTTTAAGGCTCTCCATTACACATCAGGCTAAGACAATCCTTCTAATTTAAGGTTCTCCCCCTATGTATACTCAGGTATAAATTTATTTATTACTCCAATATTGGGGATTTATATGACTCAGTTAACACTGCATGCTGTCGTTGCTCAAGTCATAGGTTTCTGAGGGATCTTAAGGGTTTCTGACCCTCAGAGAGAATTTGTCTTCATTTCAGAGAATCTGACTCCATTTTTGGTACCCCTTAAAATTTTAGTATTCCCTATCTTCACTTTTTTTTATCTTCTCCTCTCCTTTCTCTCCTCCCCTCTTTCTTCTTACTTTTTCTCTTCTCCCTCCTCCCTCCTCCCTCTTTCCCCCTCTCCTCTTCTCTCTCCTAGTTCTCTGTGTTTGTTTTGGGAAGTCCTCATCCACATTCATGATTTTCACTATCATCTTCAATATGATAGGCCCTAAATCTCTAACTTTGACCCTGAACTTCAGATTTGCAAGTACCTGTGACTCTCTCTGCCTGGATATTCCATAGCCACCTTACTCTTGGAAGACCCCAAACTCAACTCATTCCCAACTCCATTTCCAACTCAGACTCTTTCTCACTTAAGGTTCTTCCTATCTCAGTGAATGGTCTTTCCATGCTCCTAACTGCCCAGGCCAGAGACCTATGAGTCACCCATCGTTCTCTCCTCTCCCTCCCCACATTTCTGCCCAATCCCAGCAATCTCTTTCTCCCTAAAGCATCCTGATTGCCACCACTTCTCTCCATGCTCTCTGCCAATATCTTTGTCCAACTGCACATAGCCTCTCTTTTGTAGTTTTCTGAACTGTACCATTCAAGTTTATCTCTTTGTCCCGTTTCCTGTCCCAATCCATCTATCTTCCACACTGCCAGTAGAATGTTAATTTCAAATCTTTTAAATAGCCATATTATCAAATATGATTTGACCTCCTGAAACTCTGTCACAGATAGAAGGAAATACATTGACATAGTGCCCTGGCAGGTTCACCATAAAAAGCAACAGCTCCAAAAAGGACCACTTGTCCTCCCATCCTTGCAGCCTCCTCTTTCTTCCATCCTCCTGCTGCCTGGCCTCCAGCTTCATGCAACAAGTGGTTACTTTTCCAACTTCCAAGACCATGCTCCATTTTCTGATATCTGACTCTGTATTAGAAATTCTTTGTGTCAGAAGCCACCATTTCTTTTTTTAAATTTTATTTTAAAGAGAAAAAATAAAAATATCAATAAAAAGAGTTTCAAAACAGGTTATTAGGAGAGTTACAATAATTAATACATTGCATATTGTTGTCTTAGTAGTAATTATTCAGAGTACAAGACATAGGCCTGATATCTTGTCCAAACAATAGTAGCACAAACCTTTTTCTTCAATCAACTAAGGGAAACTAGCTGTATAACTATCTTAATTATCTTGTGTATACAAATATTTTTTTTCTTTTTCTCTTCCGTCCTTTTCCCTTTTCTCCATTACAGTTTGTCTTTCTTTTTAAAGAGTTTCTTCCCAATTCACAATATCTATTGTACATTTTAGACTTTATTTACTCTTGCAAATTCTCACACTAGTGGGACAATATGCTGTTTACACATATGGATCTGATTTACTTCACTTATGAGTATGGCCTCAAGTTGCATCCATTTACCTATAAAAGTTTCCAGTTTATCCTTCTTTATGGCTGATTAGTACTACATTGTATAAAAATACCATCTCTTTTTTATCCATTCCTCAGTTGACGGGCATTTGATTTGTTTCCAAGATTTAGCTATTACAACTTGTGCTGCTGTAAACATGGCTGTGGTACAATGTTTTAAAATTCTTCTGGGAAGATACCCAGAAGTGGAATAGCTGGATGGAGTGGGACTTCTAATCCTAGTATTTTGAGGAACCTCCACACTGATTTCCATAGTGGTTGCACCAGTCTTCACTCCCACCAACAATTGAGAAGGGCTCCTTTTCCACACAGCCCCACTAGCATTTGTTGTTGGTTGATTACTTGATGAAAGCCATTCTTTCTGGGGTGAGATGGAATCTCAGTGTTGTTTTAATTTGCATCTGTCAAATGACCACTGCCACTGAACATTTTTTCATGTATTTATTTGCCATCTGTATTTCTTCATCTGAGAAGTGTGTATTCATCTCAGATGGCCATTTTTAGATTGTGTCTTTGAATCTGGAGGGGTTTCATTTCTTTCAGTTCTTTATGTGTTCTAGAAATAAGATCTTTGTCTGAGGGACAACTGGCTATAATCTTTTTCCCACTCTGTGGATTGTCTTTTCTCTCTAATTTCCTTTGTTGTGCAGAAGCTTTTTAATAAGATGAGATCCAAGTTGTTGATTCTTTGAAGTATTTCCCATGCAGTCTGGGTTTTATTCATGAAGTCTCTGCCTACACCTATATCATCAAGATTTCTACCTATTTTCTTTTCCAGTAAACTAAGTGTTTCTATTTTAATATTTAGATCTTTGATCCATTTGGACTTTAGTGCATGGTGATAGACATGTGTCTAGTTTTAAGTCTTTGGCATGTAGAGAACGAGTTTTACCAGCACCATTTATTAAAGAAGCTATCTTTCTTCCAGTGAACACATTTGGGCCCTTTGTTAAAGATAAAGTGGCTGAGCATGTTTGCAGTTCCATCTGCATCTTCTGTTCTGTTCCACTAATCCTCAGGCCTATTTTTTTGGCAATACCATGCTGATTTTATCAGAGTAGCTTTGTAGCATAATTTTAAGTCAGGGATTGCAGTGCCTCCTACCTTGCCTTTGTGGCCCAGAACTGCCTTTGCTATTCTATGTCTCTTCTGGTTCCAAACCAATTTTGGGAGTGTTTTCTCTAGATCTGTGAGGCACGCAGATGGTATTTTTGTTGGGTTTGCATTAAATCTGTAGAGCAG